CAGGTGCCTCCTGTCCTCCCTTAACTGAGCCGGACAGGAGAATTGACGAGGCAGGGCTGCATCTGTTGGGCAGCCCAAAGAGGGCATTGCACAAGATGGGCGATAATATCAACAGAAGCGAAGGGAGGCCGCGTTCAGGGTCGGAAAAGTCAAATAGGGACCTAATCACACTTTTTTCGAGGCTCAAAAGCCAGTGGTGAATAAAGTGGGACAGGGATTGGGACTGGGATTGGGAAAGGGAAGCGAGGCCGGCTCTGCCCTGGGAGGAATGCTGGAGCTGGCTGGAAGACTCCAGGGGAAGGCTCAGGAGAACAGCCAGTGGCTTAGCAAACTTCGGAACGTGCCTGTGAATGACTCCTGCGATAGCCACAACCAGAGTGGTTGCGGCAGTGTTGGACTGCAACACCCCTCGGCCATGCCGACTGAGCCAGATGGGGGCGGCAGTCCCGTCCTGGAGGGGGCCGGGTCGGGGAGGGCACTCTGCATGAAGACGGCTGCGTGCCGGGCACAGGCGGCAGGGGCAGCAAAACCGGCAGGCGCCTCCAGAGGGAGCTGTGTGGCCCCATCCTGCAGCCCGTGGGGCACCTGCTGGCAGAGAGGAGGGAGGGCCGCACCGCCTCCTGTGCACGCCTGCCCCCTTTGGTCCTTGTGATTGCCGGTGGAGCTCACAGCCGCTGCTGAAGGCCGGCTCCGCTGCAGCTCGCCGGCCGTTCCACCTCGGTGCAAACCATGCAAGAGGCCCCAAATGCCCGGGGGCCGTCCAAGGACTTGTGTTTCGTTTATTCATTTATTTCTAAATTCGTGTGCTGGCTACTAATCCAGCTGGATTCTCGAGGTAGATGACGTTCAACCTCTGGCACCCCAGCAGGCTATTATTCTGGTTAGTAGTGTTCAGAAGACAGCAGCAGAAAAAGATCGGAGACTCGATGGGCAACGTGAGGGCCGGGCCGTGGGCGGGAGCAGGCAAGGGCAGGACGCTGGGTCCAGGGGGCGAGCTTCAGCTGAGCCCAGAGTTTACTCTGGGCCAGAGGCTAGGAGCAAGTCAGCAGGTCCGGGTCAAAGGCACGGAGGAGAGCAGTCCAAGTCTGCAGGCAGAGCGAGCGAGCGAGCGAGCGAGCGAGCACCATTCCAGGGTCTGTTCACCAGGGAGACGTTGCCGCGAGGGTTGTGGCAGGCTGGGGCGAGGCAGGGTCTACCTGGAGGAAAGACGGGAGAGCGGGAACGGGCACAGGCTGGGGTGAGGCAGAAACGAACTGGAGCAAGGCATAGCGATGCAGGTGGGAACAACCGGGGGCGAAGGGTAGTGAAGCGGGAGCCAGCGCACAGGAGTCATGCGGGGAAGCCTCTTCTGCTGCTCTTCGGCGTCTCCAGCTGCACTACGGAATTGCTCCGCAGGTGTTTCCCGCAAGTGCCCACAGAGGTGTTCCTGGTTCTGCGAGCACTTGCAGGAACAGCCAGGCCCTGGTCCTGACAGTCACCCCATCCTCCCTATCATAATCCTGATTTCCAGATTTCAAGCTCTACATCAAATTAGTTTATGCAATTAGTGGTCCTCTTGTGTTCTCTCTTTCTTTTGGTGGCTCACCGGCAACAGGCTGGGAAGCCAGGAAACACTCTCAAGACACTCACATCGGGATAGAGAAAAACGGCTATCGTTCCCAGAATTCCCCAGCCAGCAGCTGGGGAATGCTGGGGATTGTAGGCCCTTTCCTGTCTGAGCTTGCATAGAATTGCCGAGCAGGAGGAGCAGAAAGGCCAGCCTGGCAAAAGGCAGCTTTCTGTGCTTCTGAGGCATGACCAAGGAGTTATCTCACCCTCCCTGCCGTGGCTTGCTTCAATCTGGAGCGAGCCACAGCTTCTGTTATAATGGGAGTAGCGGCGGGAGAGGATAAATAAATGGATGAGAAGCCTCAGAAAGATTTGCTGAAATGCACCGGTTCACCTTGCGGGCTGGAGCACATCTTACCAAGGCATTTAGCTGTGACAGCCTGGAAGAAGCAGTCTGGAGTTTTTTTTCCCAGCGGCTGCCATGAAAAATTGATAAGCAGTTGCTCTCCTATCATCAGGGAAGACGGTTTGGCTGGCTCTAAATTAAAGGCCATCATGTGAAGGGATCCCGGCCCTCCCCATTCCTCTGAACATAGAAATATGTATGTCGCTGGGGTGGGGGGAGGAGAAGGGGGCAGAGACCAAGAACAATTCATTATTTGCTTTATAAATTGCTAGGTTTTCATTGCATGTGACAGAGGGGAAAAACAGCTGTTTGGTTTGCTCTGGTGCCCAGTTGCTTTGCTTTTCTCCAACTACTTTCCAGCAAACTTGCTTTCCAGCTCTGTAATTCTTAGTCTAAATGCAAGCTGTCTCCTTTAATAATGCAAAGGCTGCTGTGCTGAGCAAATTTAGATTTGCCCCTTTTAGGGGAAAACCCTCTGTTGGATGAAGAGAAAAAACCCAGCTGGTTCCCTGCGCCCTCAGGTTGGATCGGGGTGCTGTGGTGGATGTGTCATAGCACTGGTGTGGGTTGGGGACAGGGAGTGGTGACGCTCGGTGATGTCACACTTTGTGGCTTCTCATCTGGGTGGCTTTCAAAAGGGACTGGGCATGAAGGAAGAGAAGGCACCTCAGGCATGGTAGGCATGTTGTGAGTGGAACCAACTTGAGCTGGGGGTCAGACTAGATGGCCCTGGAGGCCCCTTTTGACTCACCCTGTTTCCGTTTCTATGTCCTGTGTTTCTAAGACAGCTGGTGGCTGCTAGTCCTCATGGCCAAATGCTTCTTCTAGTATTGGAGGCCTAAGTGCCCCGCAGGTAGATGGTTGGCCGCTGTATGAAGAGAATTCTGGACTGGATGGACTCTTGGGCCAATCCAGCAGAGCTCTTCTTAGGTGTCTAAGGGCAGGAAATTGCAGCTTGTTGGAGAGCCGTGATGGAGGAAGGCAGGTTTGTGGAGTTCCTGTTTCCGAAGGGCTCCCTGTGCTGGCAGAACAAGCAAGAGTCTTTGGGGCATTCGTAACATGAACACAACTGGCTTCAGTTTTCATGGGCCAGATCCATTTTATCAGTGGCTTTTAGTCAGGAGTGGGCAACTGGTAGCCCTCAGATGTCTTGGCCTACAAGGCCCTTTGGGCCTGGCCGACCTAAGCAGTGATGGGGGTTGCAGGCCAAAAGATCTGGAGAACTTCCAGCGGATATGTGTGGAGGGTTATGCTTCCCTGTTGAGGATACGAATTCACATACCCAAAGAAGTTGGCTCTTGGTTTCCTCATAGGCCTAATCCACTCATTCAGCAGCTTGTGGTTGAATTTCTGGTGGAAGGTGGTTGGATATTGGGTGGGCCAGTCCTTGCCCTCTTCGCCCTCCTTCCAGGCAGCCTCCCGTGAGGGGAGATGGTTCGATCACGTCGGTGCTCAGAAGTGGGTAGACCACTGGGCCACTCCACACGTGCCAGAAGGGCCACCTCACCTCAGAGGAGGTGACCATTGCTTCTGAATACGACTCTGTGTCCAGGAGCCAGCCAGTGAGGAGGCCATGCTCCGACCAGGACTCCCCTGGAGGGTGGGCAGATAATACTCGGCACCCAGGGAGTAAATGTTTCCCAGTGAGCCTCTCACTGCGAAACATTCAGAGGTTTAATTCAGAGGCTGTGGAGAGGGTTTAAGCTGCCCAGAGTTGGAAAAAGCTGGAGTGGGCACTGAAGTTCCCTTCCATGTGGCGTATGATCTGGCCTGCAATCCATAAGTCCCTGGCTCAGGGACTGGCTCTGTGGGTTTACTGGGACATTCTTCCCAGGAATGCTGGGTGGTTCCCAGGAGCTCCGAGCTGGTCTTGCTTTTGCTCCTGCAACATCACGCTCCGGAACATGATACGACGCCCTTCAGTCGCGGAACATCCTACCTAGGTGTGGAGGAACTGGTGGCTGGTCACATCCTGGCCCTCCGCTGTGATCTCAGAGCCCATTTGCTAAGAGGAGGAGAAGAGGCAAAGCTGCCGAGGAGGCAGAATTTCCCAGAATTTCCCGCCCTGCCCTGCGCATCTAGAGGGCCTCCATTTTCAGGAGAAGAAAAGCCACTGCTGGTCGCACAGGTGAAGATGCCTGTGAGATGCTTCGCCACGCAGATAAGGAGAATTCCATATGGGCCAAAATTGCCATTGCCTGGAGACGATCCGAAGATGCTTTCTGGCCAGATGGCCATGCGCCGGGGGCACTCAGACCTTCTTTTAGTAGGAGGAGGAAAGAAAAGGCCAGGAGGTGCTCGAGGGGTAAGACTGAGGCAGTAAAGAATGGCTCACAATAAATTAAGGTGCTGAGGCTTAACAGCTCTGGCTGCTGCCCCCAGTGCCAGAGATGCGATGGAGGTGCGACCCAGACAGGAGGGAAACCCCTGCTGCAGGCACTTAGAATCACTCTCTTTATCTTAACTAAAGCCACGTGTTCCCTGGTGGATTCCTAATATTGAAAATCAGCTGCAAGACCTTTTATGAGCTCAAATGCCCCCTGAAGCCCAGCCTGCCTCTCTGCCATGGGACTTGCCAAACTCCTCAGAAAGGCCAGTGGGAAGAACTCACAAAAATAGGCACGCGAGTCACTCGCTTCTGGATCAGCTGCACCTGTGCAGAGACTTTCTGGTGGATGCACCACCATGCATGTACGAGTCGCGCGCACCGTAGGAACGCTGCTCTGCCTTGCCTCATTTCCTGAGAATCCATGACGGCAGGGCAGCCGAGAGCACTGTTTCCTGACCTCCAAACCCGCAAGTTATCTTAAGGTGGCACTTCACTGCCGGGGGGGAAGAAATGAGCTTTGCATCTTCAGTTTGCATCGTATGCCTTTCCTCCCTCGCCCCCGTCCCAGGGGAGTTGTTTCTTTTCAGGCAGGCATGCAACAGTCCTAAAATGCCCCAGGATGTTCCGATGCAGCAAGAGGTTAGCCACCCCGTCCCCGTATCCCCTCTTCCGAGGAGAGTGTACCCCACCAAACTGATGCAAACTCTTTCTCCCCAGGTGCCTCCCGATCCTCTGTCGTCCGATGCAAGCCAGGAACCACCTGGCCCCGCAGGCAGCAATCGCCCTTGCCCGCCGCGGAAGTTTCTGCTGCTCCCATTCTAGAGCTGCAGAGTCAAAGTCCAGCTGGATTTTGCCGGCACGGCAGAGGAGAGAGGCAGAACAGATCAGGTATGCTCATGAGTCACAGGTGCCCTGTCCTGGCCTGCCCTGCCCTGCCTGGGATGGTGCCTCACGCTGTGACTGCCATCATCCTGCCAATCTTGCTTTCCATCGTGGACTGGGGATTTTGGTGGGCAGGCTGGAAGGATGGAGGGGCGAGGCAGGTGTGTTGTTGTCTCCCATAGGTTGGGCTGAGGACCAGGTGACCTCCCAAAGAGGATGCCAATGGGGAGGGCCACCTTTGGACCAGGTTGCATCTTGAGGACCTGCAAAGCTCAGCTCGGTTTGGCCGTCAAAATGCCCGTCCCCGTTATCTCAAGCATGTACAAAGGGAAGAGGAAAACAAGAGGAAGCTGGAGGAAAAGGACCCAGCCTTGGTCTTCATGAAAGATCAGTCCTGGTCCATTACAGCCCTGCAGAGGAAGGACTCCTCCTGCAGATGTGGCCCCCCACCGTCACTTCCGGTTCCCCCAGAAGCAAAACCCGTGTTGAATTGGCAAAATAGGGCTGTTTTTTCCTTCCCTCTTCTGTAGAAGGTCCAAGGGATCACTTCTGAATCTTCTTATGGTGGTTGATGAGAGTAACCGCCATAGATAACAACACTGATTTAAACTGGTTTGCCACCCAAGAATCCAAGGGATGCTTCCTTAGTGAATCCCTGAAACTAATGGAACGAGTCTTTCCAAGGTTCCAACAATTCTCCCAATGAACTATTCTTCACTGGGAGCCACGGAATGACCTGAAATCAGGGTAGCACCGCAGACCCAAATCCTAAAACTTTCGTGGCCATGGCTTCTCTCGAAGAACCCCAGGCATTGTCCGATGGGGTGAGTGGCTCCCACTAACCGGAACTTCCAGAGTTCAGTGGGAAGAGGGAATGGAGCATCAAACCAGTTTAAATTCTGTAATGTAAAACCAGTTAGATCCGTAGCAGCTTTTTGAGGAAAGCAGTTCAGATGAGAGTCTGTTTGATTTGATTATCTATCTATCTATCTATCTATCTATCTATCTATCTATCTATCTATCTATCATTATCAGGTCCATGAATCATAGAACTGCCTCTTGATTCTGTGAGTTTTGGAGGTGGGGGGTGATCCATTTTTATAAATCAATAACGTAACACACCAAAATGTTAACATGTGTTCCTTTCATTAGAATCTTTCCTACTCCTGCCTTCCCGTCGTTTTTTCAATGGCTCAATACAGCTTTCAAAGCACTGGAATGAAATCATAAAGTAGAATAGAGAGAACGAGGATTAAAAAATAAAACACAGAGCGATTCTGCTAAAATACTGGATATTTTCAAAAATAAGAATGCTCTTATGTGAAGGGGATTCGTGAAGGGGATTTGTGTCTGGCCTTGCAGATGTGCTCTTGCATAAGGGGCTGAGCCTGGATCCCTCACAGTCGGAGGGGAAAGTACCATGCTGGGACACCAGTTTGAATCAGTGCCACCCCACAGTCCCCGTCCCCCCCAGCTGTAAACTGGGACAGCTGTCTAGATAACATGCAAGACACTGAGGTGTGTCAGTGGTGGAGGTCACGCCACCGTCCGTTTCTGAGTTCAGAGGCTTTCAAGCATCTGCTGTGAGGGCATTTGGTTTGCATCCTGTGGTAACCAAACACTTTCAGTTATAATACACCTAGCAAGCCCCTTACCTGGGTGCAGAAGCTTAGAACATCGTATGTTGGAAGGATGTCAGCTGTGTCCTGTCTGGTTTGTTCTTGCATTCCAAGAATCTGAATTATTTAACTTGATCTAAAATCAAGCTGCTAGTCCTCATGGGTGCAGGGGCTTGCATACTGAAAGGAACCTTTGGCTATTACAAGGAGAACCCTGGAAGCTTCCTCTTAGCTGCATTCATGCAGCGAGTCCGCAGTTTCCTTCTTAACAGATTCTCCGTGGTAAGAAAAGGGGTGGAAGAAGCGATGGGAAAAAGCAGGGGGTTTCAAGTCGAGGATGCTTCATCTAGATCTCTCCTCCCCGATAAGAAATACTCTGAATGAGGCAGGATGGCTGCGGATTGAAGGACTATTCTGGGAGCGCCCGTATCGTGGGGAGACTGTGGGTCCGTCGAGGCCTAACGTTTGCATGCAAGGAGGGAGCTGCCTTGCAAAACCGTGGCCCTTGCCCCTGCCGGCAGAAGAGTTCTGCATCGTTATGAGTCTGCCTCATTGTAGGGTGGCTGCCCCCCGCCCCCCGCAATAGGTAGGACAGATGTGGGTGTCCTGCTGACTCTCCAAGGGATTTGCCACAGATCAGCAAAGTTTTCCGACTCCCAGTGGTTGCACAGAAGTGGTGCCAATAAGCTTTGTTTTCTTCCTAAAATAAGCCACTGAAATTCTTCTTCTTCTTTTTCAGCACATTTCTATACCACCCATAGCCAAAGCTCGACTCTGTAGCTTCTGAGATTAGGCAGGGTACTTCAGGGTATGCAGAAGCCTAACCTTGAGAAATTGAGCATGATTTGGGGGGGGGGGGGTGAAAGGGTTCCTGTGCATGTCCCAGTTCTGCCACTGCAAGTGTATTTCTCAGCTTAAGCATGTAGTCAGGGAGACGTTGGCTTACCGTTACCTTCCTGGGTCCTTTTTTTGTACCTGGCTGTGGCTGATGGGCCTTGGAGTTCTAGTGGAAAGGCCTAAAGTCTGCTCTGCAGAAGGGGCCACTAAGATATTGTGATCCATGGCTGCAGACGAGGGAGGTAGTTTGCCCCTGATGGTGTGAACTTGTTCCATTGAAAACTGGCAAGTTTGAGGTAATGGGGAAGCCCATGTACCGTATATTTTTAAAAGATGTGGTGCAGGTATATATATTCCTCGTGACTCATTTCCTAGATTCTGTTGTGTTTTATATCAGTCAGCTCTAGAACTACAACTCCCAACATCCCCAGCCAGCTCAGTTGGGGTTGATGAGAATTATAGTCCCATACACCTGGAGGCTGCCAGGTTGGGAGAAAGCACAGATCAAAAATGGGTGCCGGCACTGGTCCATGAAAGCAAAATTCCTAAAGATTTCCCACCATTTCACAGAAGAAAATGATATCTCTGCTTTTGCAACAAAGGCCAGGGCATAAACCCCCCACTCACCCTTGGGAATTGTTAACATAAATGGTTAATAGTCTGGACAAAGCGGATTGGCTCTCCAAAGAGAAGAGCCTGGAAAACACGAGTGAGTCATAAGCAATCAGAAATATAAAACAGGATAGCAAAGCGAGTCAGACTTCTTACCCTGTGAAACCACTACTACTACTGAACTGGCAGAACGTGCAAGTTTGTTTGTTTTAATACAAAGCCAAGATACAACAGTTCAGCAGCTCCACATGGCTTCAAGGCAACACCCCCTGTGAACCCAGTCTGTACCTGAGGCTCTCTGAGACATACAGGACGAATCACTAACTCAACTCGTAACCTTCGTTACTGTATCTGCCAGCTTCATTCAAATGGTAGCTAACCCGTCACCAGGACCCTTAGTTAGCATGATCCACTGTCAGTGCTGTTCCTGCGAGGGTTTGTCCCAGAGAAGGAGAAGGAGGTTATCCGTGGCTACTTGGCTTGCTGGCTATGGGCCGATTCCTTCACCACAGGTGCCTGCCTGCATGCACCAGTTGCGGAGGAGCTGGGCGGGAGGAGGCCTTGCACCCCTCCTGCAGGAGGGATCCTGTGGGCAGCTGGCTTGCCACCGTGTGGCTGGAGTGCTGGCCTGGATGGACCTTGGATCTGATCCAGGATAGCAGTACTGGGAGTGGAATGGGAATAGGTGGGCCCAAGGAGGGGATCCCCTTCACACCCCAGGCTCCAGAGCACCACAGAAGCAAGAGCCAGCACTGCAGGCAGCGCCAGAGCAGGGGAACGGCTGCCGCCAAGAGCAGTAGTGGAAGCCATAGAAAGATGCACGGAAGCTTTCTCCATGAGTCATTTGCGCTGTGCTCCTCATTCCCTAGTCATAACTGCGTTGTCTGTGACCTCCAATGTTGTTTCTGTTTCTAAATAACATTTCTGCCAGTTATTTTTCTTTCTTTCTGTAGAGCAGAGACAATGTGGTAGTATTTGAAAAAGGGAAAGAAACCGCTTGTCCACTTGTGTAATTGTGCTGCTGTGCTGTACAACAGTGCCACCTAGAGGATGTTGTTGTTCTTACATGTTGTCAAGTCCTCTCCAGCGACCCTTCCAATGGAAGCCCTTCAAAATGTTCTGTCCGTGTCAGTCCTGCGCAGCAATGTTAAGTTCAAGGCTGTGGCTTCCTTGACAGGGTCCATCCATCTCATGGGTGGTCTTCCTCTTTGTCTGCCCTCGGCATTCCCTGGCATGAAGGTCTTCTCCAGGGACGCTTCCTTCTGACGATGTGTCAAAGTGCGACCGAGAGGTTATGTGGTGGAAAATCAGCAAAGGAAAAGCACTTTGTTTAGTGCTTGGATTTCAGTTCGGTGATGGAACTGCAAGCGGGCAGAGTGAATTAAGAGCCCCACACGGAAAAGCTCGGTGTCCCCCTTGAAATGATCTGTGCTTGGGAGGCCACAGACATTAGCCGGGGCCAAAGCCCCGCGATTCCAAGTGCGGGGCTGGGACTCAGGCGATCCAGGTTCTAGTCCCCGCTCAGCCACGGAGCCAAGAGGGTGACCTTGGGCCCATCATGGGCTCTCAACCCAACCCGCTTCACAGGTGGTTGTTGTGAAGATAAGGAGAAGCAGCAGGGGGAGAAGGAAGCGGGCTGCTTTGAGTTCTTTGTAAGAAAAAAGGCAGGATATAAATCTAATAAATAAATACATTCTCTGGTCAGGAGCTCTTTCTGTCCCACCACAATCTGTAGGGCCAGATGGAACATGGAGCATCTTCCAGGCCAAGGATCAAATTGATTTTGGAGACACTTCTGGGGGCAGATGGAGCTGATGTCACATGGAGTGGGGCTAAAAAAGCTCCAGGACAAGCCTATTTTAACTTGAAACTCTTCCTGCAGTGAAAACCTCAGGGCATTTTGACCTTTTAGAACGGGGAATGAAATCGGGAAACCCCAGAAGCCGGGGACCCCTTGGGCAATCCTCAGAGAGCCAGACTGGGGTCCCAGGGTTGGGGACTTGGATGAAATTCAATTCCTCTGCGGTAAGAGCAATCGATTGCTCTCACCCAAGCGCTACTCATTACGATGTCCTCTTTGCCTCGTATCTGGATAGTAATACTGTGGCTGGCCTTTATTTCTTCAACGGCATCGTCCGTGTCTGTTTTCAGGAGAAGAAGGAACACAAGCCCATGCCGAAAGCACCAGCCAAGAGAGCCGGGCCCAGACCCGCTGCGAGTCCTGCCTGTCCGTGTTCCTCAAGATCGTCTGGGGATTTCTGATTATTTTGTCCGTCTCGTCCTCTTGTGTCGGAACAACGCAGATTGTCAAAATCACCTACAAGAACTTCGATTACCCGTTTTTCATGACTTGGTTCTCCACAAACTGGAATATTATGTTTTTCCCTGTTTATTATTCCGGGCATCTTGCAACGGCACAGGAAAAGCAATCTCCAATCAAAAAATTCAGGTAGGTTCCTAATTTTGAGGATGTGGCTTCTAGGATATTACCTTAAGCATTGTTGTATGTTACCTTCTTTTGATGAACTTGTCAGAACTTTAAGCTTTGGGGCCTTGCAATGCATCCTCTTCTTGATGAAGATATGGTGGATGGGCAGGGTCTTTTCTCTGGTGGCACCTTTTTTGTGGAATATCTCCATTTTTAATCTTAAATATTGTATGTATATTCATGTTTATGGTCTGTACAGATATCACTTTAGCCAGGTTTGTTAGCTGTTTTGATTGTATAGGAGAATGGGATATAAATTTTTTGGAAGATGAATAACCAGATGGGTGAAATTGATTGATTGATTGATTGATTTCATACCATTTATAACCTATTTAGCTTGTATTCAGTGGTGTCCTACCAGCAGGATGATGGTGGGGGCAGAATGAATTTTTTCTCCCACATTTCAGGATCTCTGCAACCTCCAGATGTGCTCCAGATGTTTAAGGGAGAAGCAGATTTGGAATGTGCAAAGGGAAGAAGTGGAAAGGAAAGGAAACACGAGCTTTAGCCCATGTTGGCCACAATATAAATAAATGTTAAATAATAAAAACAGGATAAAAACGTACCAGCCTATAAACAACAGCCAGGAAAGCAGTGTGTTGAAAAGAATAACAGCTGCTAAGAAAGAGGACATTAAAGAAAATGAAGAAAATGAATAAGTCCAGCTAAATAAAATTCTCTTACCAGCCACTGAAACAGTAGGAATGGGGAGTGCCTATTGACTCGAGCGGGGAGCCTGGCATGACAGCATGAGGAGGGGAAGAAAAGCGGGGTTCAGGGTATGGCTAAGAGGCGTCCAGGTGACGGGCCAACCTGTGGGCATGATGCCTTCCTTCCGGAATTTTGCTGAAATGGAAAAAATGGAGGGGCTTATCTCAAGCTGTTCTGGCAGACGTGGAGAATAGTCAGGATTCATGCTGCAGGGAGGGGTGGGGAGAAGACCCCCTGCAGCCGGCCGAGCCCAGCGTGACTCTTGACCCCATGACGCAATGTCGGAAGAGACAGCTGAGCAAGGATGGGGCGGTGGACAGAGAAGAGGCTTGCCAGCGCCCGAAAGGGGTGTCCCAGAGGGAGCACCTCCAGAGGCACTCCAAAGGAGGACGCCCAGAAGTTGTTGTTAGCCTGGGTTCAACAGAGACTCATTCTGTGTCGGTTGAACGTGCCTCTTTCCCCCTCTTTTGCAGGGAATGCAGCCGGATCTTTGGCGAAGATGGCCTGACGCTGAAACTCTTTCTTAAAAGGACAGCTCCCTTTTCTATTCTCTGGACTTTGACTAATTACCTTTATTTGCTGGCTTTGAAGAAGCTGACGGCCACCGACGTCTCAGCCCTGTTCTGTTGCAACAAGGCCTTTGTCTTCCTGCTCTCATGGATCGTTCTGAAAGACAGGTTCATGGGCATTCGGGTAATGACTGGCACCGGTCTTCCTCACCGGGGTTGGCGTGCCATCATCCATTTGGGGTTCTGTGGGGATGGCGAGGTCCCCTCCGTGTCCTTCTTGTTAGCTTTGCACTGAACAATAGAAACAGAAAGCGTGCAGAAATGGTCCTGGGAACAGAAGTATTTGGCAGTGCTCACACGAATCTGAAATTCTAGGGCTGAGCATCATTTTGCAGGGAAATCTCACCTTGTGGTCACATTTTCCTGTTCTCCTTCCACGGTTCTCCCTTCCCAGGAGTGCTGCCCCCTGGAGGTGAAATTCAGGAGTGACCACAGGCAATTAATCCACTGAAAATGAATGTAGAATGTCTTGCAGGTGCATTTTGATTTCACCCCATGGGAGCATGCGCGTGTGTGTGTGTATGTGTGTGTACACACAAGCGTGGAAGAATGACCAGGGAATGTTGGACTCATGACAACATTTGCCTTGCAAAAATGCCTGCATGGACATACCCTTTTTATTATGATCACCTGTTATTCTGCGGGTGGGATGTGAAGAGCTTTAGAAACACAGAAACAGAGTGAGTCAGAAGGGGTCTCCTGGGCCATCTAGTCTGACCCCTGGCTCCAGCCGGCTCCGCTCACGACATGCCCACCATATGCATGTCCAGCCTATCTTTGAACACCCTCCCCGATGGGGCCTCAGCCACCTCCCGGGGAAGCCCATTCCACACCCTCGGGGTCCTAACCATCAGGAAGAACTTCCTGGCATCCACCCTAAATCTTGGTTCCCTGAGTGTTGCTCCATCGGAACGCATCCTGCCCTCCCCTGCAGGGGAAAAATGGTCATGTCCCACCTCTGTGCGGCACCCCCTTACATACCTGCATGTCGCCAACAGATCCCCTTGGAGTCTCTTCCTCCCAAGGCTGAACAGACCCTCAGTCTCTCCTCCTTTATATTAATGCAGGGGTCTCAAACTCAGCTGACCTGGGGGCCGCTGGAAGTAGAGGCTGGGTGAGGCCGGGCCGCATCAAGTATTCCACCCCCGCGGTGGTGGGGGGCCGCTCATCCCGCGGCCGGCCAGGGCGCCACCGGGGCTTTGAAGGCCGCAGGGCCCCTCCCCCGTGCCCCGGCCGTCCCGGCAATTGGCCCGCAGTCCGCAAGTTTGAGACCCCTGTATTAATGGGAAGTACCCCGGGGAATGTATTCATGTTCCCCAGTTTTATTTGCTAATTATATACCAAATGTATAGATTGCTTTTCAGTGCACCTCCTCAAATGCAGCATTTTCTTTTTCCAATAGGGCTGCTGAGCAGCGCTCCCATTCACTTATATGGAAGAAAGTAAAGGGAGCACCACTTGGTGGGGATTCAGCTGCACCTTGTCCTTGGTCTGAGGCAAGAGGCAGTTTTTGCCCCTTTCTTAACTGAGTCTTGGATTTTACCTTGTTCCCCTTCTCCCATAGCACTTAATGGGAGCCATAGGGAATCAAGCCTTCACCTTCTGTGCATACCTGTATTCCCTTCATTTGTGAAGCTCCACCCAAAGTTCTGCCTGAGTATGACAGAATATGGCTGCTTTCCTGCTATACAGAAATTTGTAGCACTCAAAGAGACCATGGGAATCTTGGGAATTCCAATACCAAGACCGTATATTCTTGGCCTTGGGAGAGCAGAGAGGATTGTGCCTTAAGTGGACAATTGCACCATGGGAAAAGAGTTGTCCACCTGAGCCTTCCCCATGCTGCCCTCCAGGTATGTTGGACTGAAGCTCCCATCATCCTCAGACAGCATGGTCAATGGGTGTTGCAATCCAGTGCATCTGGAAGGAGGCAGAATGAGGGAGCCTGTTTATGTGAAGAGTGCTTTACGATAATTGTGCTTGTCTCGGCAGCTAGTCTGCAAAGTACATTGTTAGAATTCCAATTTTACTGAGAGTAAATTTTATTTGCTTCTTCTACGAGCTGAAACAAAACGGCATTAACGAGTCCATGTGTGTGTACAATTGGCTGATGAAAAAAACAAACTTCCATCAAGATCCAAAATGCTACCAGATCAATTCCACGTTTGACGTTTCTACTGACGGATGGCCGGATTCCTTCACATGGGGAGAGCGGACTAGATGTGGCTTCGTATAGTCTCAGCTTGACTTACCCTGGGTAGTCAGAGCATTCTGGGTTCAGACAATATGCCGTGGTTGAACCATGGGTTGTTGCTGAACCTGGCGAACAAACCGGGTGACCAACCCACAGTTCACAACCCAACAGCAGGCCGCCAGTTCCCCCAGCTGGATTCGGATGACACAGTGGCCCCCAAATCACGAGCTCAGTGATAGCTCCCCCCCCCCCCCCCCCAGCCCTGGAGTACCAGGCTGCCTGAGCCCGGCCGATGTGTCCATCCAACCTGGCCTGATCTGGCAGTGGGTTTCTACTTGGTCACCTTCCGCAGCACCAGCCACTGAGCCCCCTTCAAGCTTGGGCCCTTCTGCATGCAGCTCACAAGCTTTGCAGTCCAGGCTGAGCAGGGGAACCCGCTTCCTCGGATCCCGACCTCCCCCTTCCCCCCTTCCCACTCTTTCGCTCAGCCCGTGGCGTCCCCCACCGGCAGCTGAAGGCTTGTACATAGAATAGTAGAGGTGGAAGGGGCCATGAAGGCCATCAGGTCCACCCCCTGCTGTTGCAGGACACCAAGTCACCATCCATCCCACTCTGGTGGCTGTCCAGGTTCACCCTGAATTTCTCCAGGGTGGGAGAGCCCCCCACCTCTCCGGGCAGCTGGTCCCGCTGCCGTATTGCTCTGACACGCATGCCTTGAACTGGGCTGGGCCGAGGCAGGACGCCCCGTCAGCAGGGGTGGCTGGCGGAAGGCCTGTGCGAGGGATGCCTGTGAAGGACCCTGGCAGGCCAGGCAAGGTGCGCCGATCTCTCACACACACAGAGCGGTGCCCAAGGTGGCTGGCGGCAAGTTCTCTGGACGTGCATTTGCACGCCTCATTTTGTGCAAGCCATTGTACTTGAGGTGGTTCAGGAGAGAAACAAGTGCGACCACGAACATTAGGCATCAGCATTAATGCCATTGCAAATCTCAAGGAAAACACTGAAAATTTAGATAACGGCGAGGCGGATCCGTCAGTTGGTTTAAGCCATCCAGAATCACTCATCTGCAGCTACTGGTCCAGAGAACGGCATAAAACGGTGCCCAAAAGGCTTGGGGTTAGCAGACCCGGCAAGCATGCTCCTGGACCCCACAAAACAGGGGAAGGAGAGGACCCTCCAGGTCCTTCAAGCAGCTCAACCTCAAGACGTTCTGAGCCAAGAAGGCGCCCTCCTCCCTGGGGCAGCTTCCCTCTGGCTTTCTCTGGGCCCCGGAGCCCTGGGGGTGGAAAATGCAAAATGCTGCCCTCTGCAAGCGGCCCTGGAGGTTGCACAGCGAGTGTAGCAGCAGCAGCGGCGAACCAGACACCAAGCACAGCCTTGGCGGGGGGTTCAGGTGTCCGTGGAGGTGTAGCCACCCCAGGTTTTAGCCTGGCCTGCCCAAGGTGCTGCACCTAGGAGCACGGTTCCCACAGCCTCCCAGCTCCACTGGGCAGATGGAAAGACCCCGAATCTACACCCAGAAGGGCCTCAAGTGCTGTACGGTCCTGATTCCTCACTCGCGGTCGGGTGCCTCATTGCCCAGGGGCTTTTTCATGCTTCCCAGATATTTCCATGGTGTGTGAGTTCTTGGCGAGCATGCCAGCATTTGCGGGGCACTCTCCAGGAATTGAGCCCCACGTGGGATGCAAGGAGTGCCCCCACCCCTTGCGCCACGGCCTCCGCGGCCACCCTGCAAGCTGCGTCCTCTGCCGGTCCATCTGCCGCTGGCTGGTATAGAAGGAGTTCACCAGCCACACAATTGGGCGTCTGCGTGGGCTCATGGGCTTCTTTTGGGCCCCGCTCACTTTGGAAGGCTGGGCCAAGCATAAGAGGAAGCCCAGGAAGACTTGGAGGGATGGATTCCGGAAGGGTTCCTCCGAACCTGGTTGGATGCCTCCGACCTTGCAAGGTTGGCCTTAATGCTGTGCTGATGAGCAGGCAGGAAGCATTGCTCCCCGTCAACTCAACCTGGAAACTGTTGTTGTTGTTAGTCGCAAAGTTGTGCCCGGCCCATCATGACCCTATGGACAACATTCCTCCAGGACTTCCTGTCCTCCACCATCCCTGGGAGTCCACCTAAGCTCACACCAACTGCCCCGTGACTCCATCCAGCCACCTCAACCTCTGCCGCCCCCTTCTTCCTTTGCCGTCAATCCTTCCCAGCATCAGGCTCCTCTCCAGGGAGTCCTTCCTTCTCATTAGGTGGCCAAAGTATTTGAGTTTCATCTCAGGATCTGGCCTTCTAAAGAGCAGTCAGGGTTGATCTCCTCTAGGACTGACCAGTTTGATTGCCTTGCGGTCCAAGGGACTCGCAGGAGTCTCCTCCAGCACCACAATTCAAAGGCCTCAATCCTTTGGCGCTCAGCCTTCCTTGTGGTCCAACTTTCACAGCCATACATTGCAACTGGGAAAACCATCACCTTGACTATACGCACTTTTATCGGCAGGGTGATGTCTCTGCTTTTTAGTACGCTGTCTGGATTTGCCATAGTTTTCCTCCCCAGGAGCAAGCGTCTTTTAATTTCTTGGCTGCAGTCCCAGTCTGCGGTGATCTTGGAGCCCAGGAAAATAAAATCTGTCACTAACTGAAAAGTGTAGGGTTCCTTATTTGGATGGGGGACATCCAATTCAGGAGGAGAGCTCATTAAAGAACAAAGTGAATTGGACAAAAAGAAAGATAAAATAAATACGAGAGCTGCAAGCCTGGTTTGGTTTAATCAGTGGATTAATCAACAAATCCTTTAGTTAATTAATCAGTGGAGGCAATTTTAATCTGTGAGGAAACATTTAATTGATGGGGCTAAGAGGTGACACTGCTTATTTTCTGGTTTGGAGCTACAAGGAGCAGGCACTGAAGAAAGGAAATCAATAAAACCGCCCTTCCATTCTATCTGAGCCAGGGGCATTTGCTCTCAAAATCAGACTTATCTTTAGGTTTTGGTAAGATGCAAGATTATTTTAGTTGATTTGTTACTGAGTTACAGAAAAGTACAACTAAAACCTGATGCCAGCACACCTGGAGGGTGCCAGGAATGAGAAGCTGTCTTGGGTTTCTGGATAAAGGCCTTTCCCCATCACCTGTCATCTGCTCCTTTCTCCTGGAGACTGGAAGAGGGACCCTGCTACTGGCTGTGTGCAGAGTTTGGGTTGGAGTAATCCTTCCCCTGAACATGCCTCCCTTTTGCTCTTTGGTCTGGGGTTCCATGTCTCTCATTTCCTGTGTGCTGGAGATGGACAATCACTTAAAGATCTTGCCACTGTTGCATTTGGCTTGTTCGTGTTGACGCACTTGAGGCTAAACCTGGGTTTACCATAGGAAGGGGCCACGGTGGTGCTGGGCCAAAGCAAAGCTTTCACAGCATCCCTGGATCATAGTTCCAGTTAGATGTTAAGTTAAACCACAGTTTTGTGCTGTACAAATGCAACTGGGAAAGCCCTCAACTTGTGTGTACCCTTTTCTCCTTCTCTTCTGCGTCTGCTTTTATGTTTAAATTCACTGTGGTTTGTTGTTATGTACAATAAAAACAAATGGTGGTTAGTTTAAACAATGATGTATTGAAACAAGCCAGAATCCAAACATTGTTTCTAAACCTGGCCTGTTTCAAAAAATCATAGTGCACACTAAGAATCAAAGAAATTCTTGGCTACATGTGGGTCAAAACCAGATTTAATGGGGCCACCGAACAAACAACTAAGCCTATTTTGGCTTTGAGCTCCTGCTACGACTAAGTCAGCCCTGGGAGAGGCATTTTAGATTTTTGGAATGTGGGAAAAATGGCACATAAGCTGGGAAGAAAGAAAGGTTGGGGAGAGGGCATAAAGCCAGAAAAAGAGGACATGGCACTGTGCAAAAAATCAAGAGAATTATTTGGCCCCTAGTCCAAAGTTCTCACCCTTGCAATATACTGCACCTACTTTATTTCAAGGGAGTGACTTCCCTTCCTTGGTTGTTGCTTTTTAAATCCACCACGAAAAGGTGCCATCTGTGTGATTGCTTCAGACGCTGTCCTTTGCTGGTGATGGAACCACCCGCCATCTTGTCTCTCTGTTGCTGGAACCATAATTTTTGTGGCCATGCTTGAACCCAGCTCCAAAGTTTATAGGCCCCGACTTCTGGAGCAAATGAACCTGATTGGTCACCTTACCTAAATGGGCTGTGGACCCAAAATAATCTAAAGAAAAACCGAGTTTCACCAGGAAGAAACAGTAAGTCCATCCCGTTGCCAACCCAACTTGTAGTCCCTTCCCTGTTTCCAAGGGATGCTTCCGAAGCTCCCTTTAAACTGGGAGTTAGGAAAATGAAAGTTAAAAGAGACACATATTTATTGTTTATTTATTAGATTTTTAGCCCGCTGTATTAGCCGCAAGTCTCCCCGCACTTGGAGCATCCTCATCTCTTTCCCGATAATCAAGTCGCTCCAAATTCCTCTTCTTTTGCATCACACAGATAGTTGCCGCAATCATGGCTATCACTGGAATCGTTATGATGGCGTATGCAGACGGTTTCCATGGCGATTCGATTATCGGTGTCGCATATGCAGTGGGATCAGCATCAACCTCTGCACTGTATAAGGTAGGCCCTTGCGTCTCCCCACAGTCCCAGCACTTTTAAAAATGCGCTCTTGCGCGCACAAACACGCACGAGCAAAGCAGAATCTGCCGAAAACGACGCTCCGTCTTTCTTCGGCTGCCTCGTTTACATTCTGCGCCAGGTGCGCCAGGAGAAAGTTACAAGGGAGATAATTAGTTTGTGGCCACCGAGGATTTGGCTTGGCGTGCCTTTATCGAGTCTTAATGAAAACTCTATTATTCCACAGCAGTGAGATGAACATCGATGTTTTCCACTTGTTCTTTGCGCTGGCATTTCATTGACGGAGTCTGGCGGTGGCCGGCTACGCACGAGCGGGAGGAAATGCTGGAACGAAAGAGGGAGAGACTTCCACTGGCGGCCTTTCATCCTTGTTGTGGGGTGCCGTCCTCCTAGGGGCTAGTGGGTCTCCTCTAATGGATTTGGGGTCCCATTGAGTGCAGCTGGAGACCCTGCAGATGTCTGGGCCTACAACTCCCATGAACCCTCCGCATGGGCTATGCTGGTGGGTGCTGATGGGAGCTGTAGGCCTAAATAACTGGAGGGCCACCATTTGCTGGCTGCTGGCGAGTGGGACCTGGAATGCCACTACTCATTTTCTAAAATGCGTTGTGACTGGAGTACAACCTCCAGTATTGCTAGTTTTTGTTTTAATGCAGTAAATGTAAAAATGAATATAAGGAAGCGATTCATTTAATGGCTGGGTTCATGGCACAACAAGCCATGGTGAATTTTTATCACCGTTGTCTATCATGCTGTCCGAACCCAGCCGTGGTTTTTCACCACGGTCAGTTTGGTCTTTAGAAACCACATGAAGAAACGATGGTTTGTTCTAGGAGCCACCATGGTTTGTCATGTTGCCTGAGCCCTGGACCACGGTTTCCATGCGATTACCACTGAGTCCCCTGAAAAGAACGGCAATGGCAGCAGCCGCTCCAGCCATCCAGCTCTATGTGCAGACCAGTGAGGAGGAAGTGGGAAATGTTGTCAGGGAGCAGTGCACCTTGGGACTGAATTTCAGGTGCAGCGGCTGATGGGACATACTGCCAATAGCAGGACTGAGCAGGGAGAATGGAAACCATGCTACCGTGGAAACCACTGATCAGCTAGATCATTGTAAAAAATTCATACCATGGTAACCACACAGAGTTACTTGTATTGTGTGAACCCAGCCACTGTGAAACAAAAGCAGGTGCCACAGTGAGAACCTCGGTCATATCAGAAAAATTATATACACCAGATCCAGTGCAGAGAGCCAGTGTGGTGCAGTGGTGAAGAGCATGGGACTGGGACTCAGGCGATCCGGGTTCGAGTCCCCGCTCAGCCACAGAGCCAACTGGGTGACCTTGGGCCAGTCAGAGACTCTCAGCCCAACCTACCTCACAGGGTTGTTGTGGGGATAAGATGGCGGAGGAGGAGGATGTAAGCTGCCTTGAGCCCTTTGTAGGAAAAAGGCAGGAAATAAATTGGAAAATCAATCAATCCATCAATCCCCATGGAAATAACATGCCTCTGAATGATGAAGGCTACTCAAAACGGGGGCGGGGGGGACACCTCATAGGGAGCTGGTGGCATGACCACTGAAAAAGCCCTGCCTCCAGCAGGCCCCAAGGGAATGGTAGCCGCTGCAGGTGCTCAGGTGCCTTGAAACTGCCTGCCGGCGTGACCCCAGCTCGCTGCTTCTACCGCAGCAGGTGACGCCACTGGTGCCCTTTCCAGGGCAGCCCTGCCGAGGGCCCCTTGCGGCAGCCCATCCTGGAGCTTAGAAGGACGGAAGCTCCGTCAGCGTAGAAGCCCAGCTTCTGTGCAGTGCAAGTGGCCGACAGTACCGAAAGCACGACTATGGATTCTTGGGAGGAGCGGCAGGCGGGACACTTGCTCAGATAGTTTTATGGAATTCGGAACTCTTCCTTCATTTGCCGTGGGGCAGGGGGAATGCCTCCTCTGGCTGCCAGGCTTCCTCAGGTGCTCCAGCAACCATGGGTCCCCACGGAGGTCTCTTAGGGCAGCACCCTAAGGACACTGGGACAGAGAAGGTCCTGCGTCTCCCAGCATTCCCTGGCCAGCACCCAGAACCCCCTGCATACTTGTGTGCAAACTTCGAGCTGTTTCCATCAAGCCGTTTTTGTGGAAGCGGTTTCCCGGCAGGAGCCCCATGAGGTGCTGAGACTACAACTACCATCATTCCCAGCCAGGCTGGGGAATCCAACATTGCCTGGGCTGGCGGGAAAGGGCGCATCCAAAGGGCATCCGACTGGGAAGGGATGCTGTGTGTAGTTTTCTTTTCTTTTATAACTTTTCTTTTATAACTTCTTTTATATTGTTTATATTTTTTATTTATTTTATATTATTAATTTTAATTTTATATTGTTATTTTTGTATTGTATTGTATTTTATTATGTTGTAAGCCGCCCCGAGGCTTCGGCAAGGGGCGGCATAGAAATGTTCTAATAATAATAATAATAATAATAATAATAATAATAATAATAATAATAATAAGTTCAAAGGATGCTCTGGCTGGCTGGCACAGGCTCCAGGTACAGGGACAGTGTGAGGGGACACGCGGTACAGTCCCCCAGGGGCAGAAGTGGCCCTGGACATGTGGCAATGTCACGTGCTGGCACCCTCTTCCTCCGTCCTTCTCCTTCCTCCTCCGTAGGTTCTGTTCAAGATGTTCCTCGGAAGTGCCAACTTTGGGGAGGCTGCGCACTTCATCTCGACCCTCGGCTTCTTCAACCTGATCTTCCTCTCCTTCACACCCATCATCCTCTATTTTACCAAAGTGGAGTACTGGTCCCCCTTTTCAGCCGTGCCGTGGGGCTACCTGTGTGGCATCGCAGGGCTCTGGCTAGGTAAGCGTGAAGGAAAATGTCCCCATCTGCAACGCTGCCCTGAGCTTCGCTTGCAGCAAGAACTTTGGCGGTTTAGGACTTCGTTGCATGTGTTTTATTATATTTTTCACTGTCCCTTAACTGAAACTCTTTGGATGGTTCACATCTAGTGAAGCCGGAATATGCAACACAAGATCCACTATAAATGTTTAAGCTGGAGGTATAAGGTAGGAGGACAAAAAGAAAAAACTAGCAGCAACTCCAAGATTTAGAATACAGAAACAAGCACGACAAAAACTGAAAGAACACAATGCCTAGAAAAGCAGAAGCGTCTTTCCCGGTGCTGCGAAGAGTACAGTGTCAGGGGAGAACTCTGGGAAATCCCTTCTGCCCTGGGCAGCCACCCCAGAAAAGACCCTCTCCTTCATAGCCAGCCACCTCTGCTCCCCCATACAGGTCGCCACCCCAGGAGGGACCCTCCTAGCCATTATGATCTCCCTTAACCGCTTCTTTGACGGATTCCTTTTCACATGGTTTTTATGAGAAGAGGACTGCAGGAGCATGTGAGGATGTTTGAATCTAGCGCCAAAAGGCAAGGAGTTTCGAATACCACCTGCAACAGGAATCCAAAATCTCAGGGCCAGGGAGCGAGTGGGGGCTGATCCAGCCCATCCTGAGGACCGGGACTCTGGCGATCCAGGTTCTAATCCCTGCTTGGGCCTGGAACCGGCTGGGTGACTTTGAGCAAGCCCAACCTACCTCACAGGGTTGTTGTTGTGAGGACAAGACTGAGAGGAGCAGGGGGAGGAGAATGATGGGAGCCACTTGGAGCTCCTTGGAAGGAAAAGACAGGCTCTGAATAAACATATAAATACATTTAAGCTCATCTGTTTCCCTGCAGATGCAAGTCCGCTGGCAGGGAAGTGCCTTCCACAAATGCCAGACTTTTGTTCTTTCCCTTTTCAGCGTTTAACATTCTGGTGAACGTCGGCGTCGTGCTGACATACCCGATCCTCATATCCATTGGGACCGTGCTGAGCGTCCCGGGCAATGCAGGTGGGTGCCTTCCGGATCATTTGGAATAAATAGTGGGATCGTTTGAAATGCTGGGCGCAGTTGGAGCAGGGGTGCCGGATGTCAACCGTGGGGTCCTGGTGGCAGTGAGACTTCTAAGCTGAAATAGGCGGGGTGGGGGGATTGGGGGGGGGTATTTTGGGACTGCAGGTGGCGCAGTGGTTTAAACTTCCGTGCTGCTGGGTTGGTTGATCGAAGGGTCGTCAGTTGGAGTCTGCACAACGGGGTGAGTTCCCCTTGCTCCATCCCAGCTCCTGCCAACCTTGCAGTTCGAAAGCATGCAAATGCAAGGAGATGAAAAGGTGCCACTTCGGCAGGCAGGTAACACTGCTCCGTGCACTTTGGTGTTTAGTCATGCCGGCCACACGACCACGGAGACCATCTGCGGACAAACGCTGGCTCCCCCGGCCAGGAAACGGAGATGAGCACCGCCCCCTAGAGTCAGGCATGACTGGACTTCACGTCAAGGGGAAACCTTTACCTTTACCTTTATTTTGGGCCAAGTCCCCGTTGCTTTCATCCTCTCTCCGGTCTCAGCACTGGATTGCAGCCCTTGAGAGCATTTCCAAAATAGAATGTGGCCTTCACACGAAAGACGTTTAACACTTCTGGTTCAAAAGCACCCCCTCAACACAGCATCAGTAAAATTGATTGATTGATTGATTGATTGATAGATACGTACCCAGGCTTTCTTTGAAGAAATTGGCATGCAAGGCAGCTTACAAAATGGGAGCAAAACAGAGCAAAAAATTCATTGAAATCTTGATTTAAAAAGAAGGAAACAAATCATTTGAAAACACTGAGAGAATGCAAACAGTTTGCAACCCGAGAGACCAGCCTGCACACCAAAAGGCATCTTTGTGGGCTGGCAGGAGGCAGGCAGAGAAAAAACTCAGATTTCTGCAGCTTCTTGATGAATGGCAGCTATTTATTCATTTAGAGTCCTTTTTATCTCACTTTCAGCAGGGAAAGGATTCTGGAGCTGCTCCCATGTAATAGATAAAACTGGCTGTCCCTACTGGCTGGTGTGTTACCTAAAAAGACACGAACATGCAAGGAAAAAGGGATGGGGAGGGAAGAGGAAAGAGCAGGACTGGTAGCAACCTCTGTATCACAGTTACAGGGAATTGCAAATATAATGGTCATGTGTAGAGGTTAAATTGGTGAGGAAAGGGTTCAAACTGCTAAGAGTTGAAATAATCACATCAACATGCAGCCCATGCTTTGCTCTGGACTCTCAGCCCCTGGCCTCATAACACGCAGGACCTCTTCCCCCTAAGCTCTGTGCAAGCTGTCTTTGCCCCCACTTCATCGGCCAAACCGATCTTTCACTCCCACAGACATTGTGCTGTTTTGGTCTTTCCCTTGCTGGCCGTCTGTACAGGCAGAATGTCTGTGAACGTTCTGTGGTGGTCCCAACCCATGCTTATGTTAGGCAAAAGAAGCTGTGAAAATACTCCTCCCCAAGTTAAATAACCAAGACTGCCATCAGAGTGAGGTGATTCCTTCGTTTGTCTCACTAGATGGGGAGAACCTGCTTAATCAGAGTCTCTCCAAAGCACAAACACACGAAACAGCTCCTTCACCCCTCAATCCATCTGCCACAGTCCTCCCCTTTTCCCTCACTGGGGAAGCTACCAGGAGGTTTCAATCTTTCTGTCCGCCTAGTTCCTATTCCCTGTCTCATGCCATTCCATATATCTGCATACATCGCATGTGCATTATAATTAGCCCACTGTCTATTCAGGGTGTGTGAGTTGATACTCATCAACCAATGACACCTGCCTGCTTACAACTACAAGTTCACTAGTTCCCACACTGGAAAAGTGAAGAACCACCCACTGACGAACTGATTCTAAAAAAAGATCTTGGACTGTGCAGAAATGGATAGATTGACCTTGTCACTGAAGGAGAAAGAAGATATTGACTTCTATCAAAGTTGGGACTCTTTTTATTATTGGCTCTTGGGACTCTTTTTATTTATTGGGACTCTTTTTATTTTTATTTTTATTATTTATTGTTATTATAGAAATGGGACTTTGTATAGATTTAAATATGTTTTTAAGTTATCATAAATGGAAAAAAATGTGGGGGCTGACCCAGTAGGCCCAATGTTTTTGATGATTGATGTTGTTTTTAGTTTTTCTTTGTTTTTAGGATTATCATTTCAAATAAAACTTATTCAAAAAAAGTTCACTAGTTCCCCCCTCTCTAACTTCACCTTGCCCTACAACCCTGTCTCATAAAACTCCTGGGAGGATGAGATAGGAAGTAGCACACTTTCTTTCAAGCCAATTATATTTTATTCCCCTCCACCTTCCTTCACTTCGGGCTTCAGGCTTCATGACCTGGTTGTTTTGCTTCTCTGTTTCTCAGTCACTGAGTTGCTTCCTTCAGTTAGAATGGAGTTTCAAGTGGAGGGCAAGCTGCCAGTGAGATTATCAGGTGTAAACGTAGGCCAAAAGGCTGAGAGTTAGAACCTTTGGCCGGATTTGGGGCTCTGGGTGCTAGGCGGAATCAGTATTAATTAATATAAAAGTCCCTGCGGCCATCTGTTTCACAGGAACCCCCCACCGCCCATGTTCTCTGCCTCTCATAGCAAACCACATCATAGTGGCCGCCATTTTGCTTTGCCCATGAGCCTCTTGGGAGTGATGCTGCTTTGTCCCATGGCATTATTCCCAGGGACATTCTGCAAAACAAACCGGTGACTTCTGATGGAAGCGGCCCATCCGGTCCCCCGTTACTCCGGCAAAAAACTGCATGGCGATAGAGCTTTGCTCACAGGGGCATTATGGGGAATCAAGATGGTGGTCGCCAAGCAGTGTCTGCCACAGAGCACCACAGGGCAGGGAGTCACCTTTGTCTGCTTAGATAGGCTGGACAGGCCCAGGGTGGGCATGTCATGAGTGGAGCTGGCTGGAGCCGGGGTCAGACTAGATGGCCCGGGAGGCCCGTTCTGACTCGCTCTGTGTCTATGTTTCGGCTGTGACATTTGTCCCGCACTGACTAAAATGGACCGCGCGTGAAATGAGGAAGCGGCATTTTGGTTCAGTGTCTTTTCTCCCCCTCCCTGCAGCTGTTGATCTTCTCAAACGCGAGGTGATCTTCAGCGTCGTCCGGTTGGGGGCCACCATGATCATCTGCCTGGGGTTTTTGCTGATGCTGCTTCCCGAGGAGTGGGATGAAATCACGCTGCGGTTCATCAACAGCCTGAAGGAAAAGAAGAGCGAAGACCACGCCGAGGACCTCACGGACTCCAGCATCCACTTCAGGAGCAGAAGCAGAGCGAACGGGGCGGTGTCTCTCCCGTTGGCTTAGACCCGGCGACTTCTTACTTGCACGACCATGTATATTCTGTGAATATGATTTAATAAATTTTTCTCACCTACCTGTATGCTAAAAATGACCGTTTAATTTAAGACGATGGATGGATTGTCCATTTAATGCTAAACACGTCAGTATGCAAACTTTCCATTTGTACCCTTATCCAGGAGTAGGTGGAAGTGCAATAAATGACTTTTTTAAAAGCAAAGCAAACGACAAAGCAAAGCAAATCTCTTTCTTTTTTGGGAAGTAGTTTAAAAAGGACTGACGGGGAAATGGCTTTTCAATGAAAGTCGCAGGCCAGTAAAAGCCAGTGTGACGTGTGACTGGAACGCAGGCGATCCGGGTTCAAGTCCCTGCTCAGCCACGGAGCCGACTGGGTGACTTTGGGCCAGGCCCAGATGCTCAGCCCAGCCTACCTTGCAGGGTTGTTGTTCTGGGGATAAGAGGGGGAGCAAGAGGAGGGGAAGGATGAAAGCTGCTTGGAGTTCATTGTAAGGGAAAAGTGGAGTGTAAATCAAATAAATAAGTATCGCCTTTTGGTAAAGTAAGGCAGAATGGGAGTGGGGCCGGGTGTGCCGTCATGGGGTGGGGGAGGGGCACACATGGCGGGAAAAGAGCACCCCCAAAGCGGCTTCCACAGAAAAACAGCCTTGCTGCCATGCCGGCTGGACTGTGGCAGAAGCTGGAAACATAGAAACAGAGCAAGTCAGAAGGGGTCCCCCGGGTCATCTAGTCTGACCCCTGGTTCCAGCCGGCTCCGCTCACGACATGCCCACCATGTGCATGTCCTTCCTGTCCGTGAACACCCTCACTGATGGGGCCTCAACAATCTCCCGTGGAAGCCCATTCCACATCCTCGGGGTCCTGACTGTCAGGAAGTGCTTCCTGACATCCAAATTGAACCTTGGCTCCCTGAGCTTGGCTCTATTGGAGCACGTCCTGCCTTCCTCTGCAGGGGAGAACAGGTCTCTGCCCACCTCCGTGTGACGCCCCCTCACATACCTGTGTGTTGACAACAGATCCCCTCTGAGTCTCCTCCAGGCTGAAGAGACCCAGTTCCCTCGGTCTCGCCTCATATGGCATCCCCTGCAAACCGGCCACCAACCTTGTGGCCCTACGCTGCACTGACTCCAACCTGGCTATATCCTTCCTGTAACGAGGGGCCCAGAACTGAACACAATACTCCAGTTGTGGGCGCACCAGAGTTGTGTAGAGTGGCAGTAACACCTCTCTCGATCCAGAAGCCACACTTCTGGCTGTGCAACCAAGGGTGGCGTTCGCCCTCTTGACCACTGCATCACACGGCTGACTCATGTTCAGCCTGCAGTCAACCAGCACCCAAGGTCCCTTTCACAAGTGCTGCTCTCCAGCCACTGGTCCCCTAACCTGTACTTATGACACCCATTCCTGTGCCCCAAGTGCAAGACCTTGCAGTTATCCACATTGAACACCATCCTGTTGTCTCCTGCCCACTTCCACAGTCTGTCCAGATCCTTTTGGATCCGGAGCACCTGCTCCTCAGTTGTGGCCACTGGAAGCCCTTTCTCTGCCTGAACTTGCTCAGGGCCACCCTTAATATCCCGACTGTGACCTGGGCACAGTCACTCTCCTAGCACATGTGCTGATAAAAAGAATATCACAGAACATGCCCAAGTGGTCCCACTTCTCCATAGCAGGGACATGAACTTCACGATTGGATAAATTCAGGGAGAAGAAGGTTATCGAAGGCTGCTAGTCCTCATGGCTCGGTGCCACTCCAGTACCACTGGCAGAGTGCCTCTGTACCCCAGTGGCTGGAGAAGATGGGAATAAGGGTGCTGGTGGCCTCCTGCCTTGCCCGAGGGATTCTGGTTGAGGGCCATGACATGAGCAAAACTCTGGAGTTGGGGCTGACCCAGTATCGACCCCATAAAGCCCAAATGATAAAAAATTAAATTGAGCCAAAAGTTCTTTCTAAATTTTGGGGCTATGCAAATTGGTCACATAATATATGGGCACAAGTTTCTTTCTCCCAAATATGAATTTTATAGCGGAACATTTAAAGGTGTTCTGTGATTTGGAGTGCAAATTTTGCTGCTTACTGTAATAGTTAATTTAGCCTTAAAGTTGTTGCTTGTTGCTAGTTGCGAAGTTGTGTCCAACCCATTGCGACCCCATGGACAACCCTCCTTCAGACCTTCCTGTCCTCCATCATCCCCCGGAGTCCACCCAAGCTCACACCAACTGCTTCAGTGGCTCCATCCAGCCACCTCATCCTCTGCCATCCCCTTCTTCTTTTGCCATCTATTGTTCCCAGCATTAGGCTCTTCGCCAGGGAGTCCTTCCTTCTCATTAGGTGGCCAAAGTGTTTGAGTTTCATCTTCAGTGTCTGGCCTTCCAAAGAGCAGCCAGGGTTGATCTCCTCTAGGACTGACCGGTTTGATCGCCTTGTGGTCCAAGGGACTCGCAGGAGTCTCCTCCAGCACCGCAATTCAAAGGCCTCGATCCTTCTGGGCTCAGCCTTCCTTATGGTCCAACTTTCACAGCCCTACATTGCAACTGGGAAAGCCATAGCCTTGACTATACACACTTTTGTTGGCAGGGTGATGTCTCTGCTTTTTAGTGTGCTGTCTAGATTAGTCTTAAAGTACTCCAGAGCTATTTGACTGCTGACTACATACACATGTAAGTCCAGAATTTCAAGTTGACTGAGAAGCAACTATTGGGAGAAATGACTCTGACCCTAGAGGGAAGAAACATAGAAACATAGTGAGTCAGAAGGGGTCTCCCGGGCCATCTAGTCTGACCCCCAGTTCCAGCTGGCTCCGCTCATGACATGCCCACCATGTGCACGTCCAGCCTATCCTTGAACACCTGCACCGATGGGGCCTCAACAACATCTCATGGAAGGCACACTGGAGCAAAACATTTATCAACCGAATCCATCACAGAGGAGCAGAGAAGCATTTTGCACCTTGCTCAGGGTGTCTGTGAAGGGAACCCGAGAATCGAGGAGGGTTAGCCAGGCCCTGGCTCCATTGAGCCCTATAGTGTTGACATGGGCTGGCAGCAGCCGCTCAGCAGGTGCCTGGCAGGGCTTCCCAGCTGTGGCTGCAGATGGCAGGGGTTGAACCTGGGCTGTTGCAGGGGAAGCCGTAGGAGGCGAGACTGAGGGAACGGGGTCTCTTCAGCCTGGAGAAGAGGAGACTCAGAGGGGATCTGTGGGCGACATGCAGGTGTGTGAGGGGGCGTCACACGGAGGTGGTGAGAGACCTGTATCTCCCCTGCAGAGGAAGGCAGGACGCGCTCCAACGGAGCAAAGCTCCGGGAGCCAAGGTTTCGTTTGGATGCCAGGAAGCCCTTCCTGACAGTCAGGACCCCGAGGGTGTGGAATGGGCTTCCACGAGAGGTCGTTGAGGCCCCATCGGTGCGGGTGCTCAAGGATAGGCTGGACGTTCACAAGGTGGGCATGTCTTGAGCGGAGCCGGCTGGTGCCGGAGGTCAGACTAGATGGCCCGGGAGACCCCTTCGGACTCGCTCTGTTTCTGTTTCTATGTTTGTCTGCCGCTCAGCAAGAAGAGGCCTGTATGAGAATCCCTCTTTGGCAGACAAAACTCCAACTTCCAGAAGTGAAACAACCTGCTAACTTAATTTTTTGTCAGACAAAAACTGCCTTTGGGCTGCAAGCGGCGGAAAAGTAAGAAGAAAAATGCAATTTGACAAACGAAGCAGCTGCGAGATTGCCTTCTTCGGCACGTAAACGGCAATCAGGCCTCTCTCTGACAGGAAAACAAAACGTGTCGCGAATGCTGGCGTTCTCGGAGCATAATGTGTTTCCAAACGCTCAGAAAGGAACCCGCGACAATAGAGGCTGTCATTCACAGTGCCGTGAGTGTAACTGTTTATGGCTGTGGAAATCGATCTCTGCTGTTCTGCAGCTTGTGTTTTTATTTATTTAGCGTGTTTTTATCATGCTGCTCAGCCACAATAATCAAGAAAAGCAGACAGTCCGTGCCCACAATCTTTTATTATCTAAAAGACCTGACACGCGAGGAAAAGGGAATGGGGAGGGAAGAGGGGAAATACGAATCTTTCTGGTCCAGTTTTCCCACTCATTTCGCCCAGTGCAGCCTGCTGGAAGGGCTACTGGAGGTTACAACCGAGCAAGGAGAAACCTTCATGGGTGGGGGCAGAAGGGGGTCTTCAGCAGAAAAGCATAATAAAATGTTTGAAATATGGAGTGTTCTCTATTTATTTCTTGCATTTCTATACTGTCTCATAGCCCAGGGGCTCTCTGGGCAGTTCGTAATAAAATACAATAAAGCCAGAAATATATCAATAAAGCAGAATAATGATATAGTAAAAGCAAGTTATAAGAGCACAGAATTTTGGCAGTTAATGGCAGAGAAAAAAAATAAAAGTGAGGCATGAGGCTATCAAAGCAAAAAGCAATGTTAAAAACCAAGTTAGTCACCATAGACCAGGAAATAAAAAGGTCTTGCCGAAAAGAGAGCAGCTACAGTGCAATAAAATAGAAAGGCATTCTTCTAGGCTGGACATGCACATGGTGGGTGTGTTGTGAGCGGAGCCGGCTGGAGCTGGGGTCAGACTAGATGGCCCAGGAGACCCCTTCTGACTCACTCTGTTTCTATGCTTCTCCCAACTGTCAGCCCCCTCACTTCTTTGTGGGCTGGGTCTGGGAGAAGAACCTCCGTCAAAGAGCTTAACGGCTGGGTAGGGACAGATGGGGATGTGGTCCCTTCAGGTGATCTGGCCACTCACCCAGCCGCCAGCAGAGTTCCCTGGATGCCCTCGGTTGAGGGATTGGTTTGCACCATCACTGGGCAGCACTCCATCCGCGGGAGGGGATTCCAGATTTAATTCTCCATCATGTGACGTTGATCTTGCATCTCCTGCCGGTCAGCCTCATGGGAAGACCCTTTCGTGAGAGGGAGAAAAATACCCCCCCAGCCACTTTCTTCACACTGTGCTTCATTTTGTGCACCTCCGCCAGGTCTCCCTCGCTCAGCCCTTTCCTAAAATCAAACAACTCCAGATGGGGTCACCATCCCTCTTGCTTCAACCCCTGGATCGTTTTGGAATCCCCTTTCTGCACTTTTCCTTACTCAATAGATGTGTTTAGATACAGTCGCCAGAACTGTACAGAGTATTCCACGTGTGGTTGAGCCATAGATTTGTATAGAGTAAATATGATGTTAACAGGTTTGGTTTCAATTCCTTTCCAAATTCTGCCTGATGTGGAGTTTCCCTTTTTTGAAGCAGCTGCACAACTGGGTCAACTTTCCCATCTAGCTGCCCACCAACACCCCAAGACCAGTTCACATCCCCACCAGTCTAAACTTGCTGATGTTCTTTGCCTGGATATGCATGATTTTACATTTCCTAACACTGAGCAGCATTTGCTATTTTGATGCCCCTTCTTTTCCCGGCTTGAAAAGATCTTGTGGCATTCCTCTCAATTCCTTTGTCTTAATCACCTAAATAATTTGGAGTCATCTGCAAACTTAGCCACTTCACTGCTCTCCCCTAATCCCAGGGCATTTTTGAATGAATTTGAAAGATGCCCAGAAGACCTGACGGTTTACCTCCCTCCATCGGGAGAATTTACTTTTTATTCCCACTTTCTCTTTTCTGTTCTTATGATCCGGAAGAGGACCCCACCCCCCAGCCTTTATTCCATGCTAAATTTGCTCAGAGCTGAGCGACTTTGTAAGAGCTCTTGGAGTAACAGTATCTACCAGGTCACCCCATCCATGATTGCCTGCCACTCTCAAAGAACCCAAGGTTTAGTGAGACATGGCTTACCTTGGTAGAAGCCATGCTGATTCTCCTTCAGCAGGGCTTCTCCTTCCAAACACTTACTGATTTTATTGTTAGTAGCACTTTCTTCTTTGCACATACTTTCAACAGTCGCTGGCACCCAGGACAGGCATTTCTGGCCAAACAGGGGAGCTATGGAGTGGCCTCCAGGCCATGCTGCAAAGAACAGTGGCAGTAATGCATCCTGTGGCCATTAAAATGCCATCTGAACTCATTGCTCCTCCCTTCCACAGTGAGATCCAGCAGCCTGGAGTTACACAGGTGATTCTCTCCTAGTGTGGACATCCAGTGAGGGAGGTAGTGAGACATGGCTTACCTTGGTAGAAGCCATGCTGATTCTCCTTCAGCAGGGCTTCTCCTTCCAAACACTTACTGATTTTATTGTTAGTAGCACTTTCTTCTTTGCACATACTTTCAACAGTCGCTGGCACCCAGGACAGGCATTTCTGGCCAAACAGGGGAGCTATGGAGTGGCCTCCAGGCCATGCTGCAAAGAACAGTGGCAGTAATGCATCCTGTGGCCATTAAAATGCCATCTGAACTCATTGCTCCTCCCTTCCACAGTGAGATCCAGCAGCCTGGAGTTACACAGGTGATTCTCTCCTAGTGTGGACATCCAGTGAGGGAGGTACGTGAGGGGGTGCCACGTGGAGGTGGGGAGAGACCTGTTCTCCCCTACAGAGGAGGGCAGGACGTGTTCCAACACAGCAAAGCCCAGGGAGCCAAGGTTCCATTTGGATGCCAGTTTGAAAAGAGCTATATCACAAACGGATCTGTTGAACCTAACCTAGAGCCTACTTCCAAAAACTCTCCTTTTCAGTAACCCTGGGCACCCCACCTCTGCAGTAGAGCCAGCCTCCCAGAAGCTTGCCAGCCTTTCTAGCCCCGTGTCATGTCACGTAATCCAGGACTGGACTAGCTTGTCTTCCTCCTCTCCTCTGTCCCTTGCCTTCTCTTCCAAATCTCACCTGTTCCATGGCTGGCCTGAGCACCTGCGGACGGCATGCTTGGAATAGCCTCACCTTCCTCACCATCTCGATCTCCACACTCCCCACTTCCCAGCCAGCCCTCACAGTCCTCCTCCAAAGAGCCGGTCCCACCCTGACCCTGGACAGTACGCCCAGAACAACTGCCTCCTCCATCCCCAACAGGGGCTGGTGCATCCGGGAATGCCAATAGGTTGGGTATGCACATGGCGGGCATGTCATGAGCTGAGCCAGCTGAAGCCAGGGATCAGACTAGATGGACCCAGAGGCCCCTTCTGACTCGCTCTGTTTCTGTGTTTGCACAGATCTGGCCATGGCTTCCCGAGGTTTCTGGCAGAAACAGGTTAAGGTTTCCTGACCTTTTTAACTGGAGATGATGGCATTTGAAGCTGAAACGTTCCACCTATAAAGCCCATGACTATGACCAGTTGGCCAGTTTCTGGTCAGTTGCATCTTGCCTGTGGGTTGCTCGGAAGTTTGCTTGGAATCCTGGGCCAGATGGACCACAGGGATTCTAGTTGTACAGCACAAAGTACAACGCACAGCTGAAAATACCCATCATCCCATGGGGTGGGGGTTGAACAAAGAATCGTCGCCATTCCCATCCAATTACAGTTTTCAGGATCTAGAGATGAGTGGGAAATTTGCATTTTAACGTGAACTTACCCAATCCATACTTGCCAGACCTATCCACAAACTGGAATGCCACTGGGATGGCGCTATTTGCATTTTCCCAGGACTCGCCATGCTGTTAACAAATTTTAAAATGTGCTATATGCGGGGCAAGTGTGTAAAACTTTTATTTATTTATTTTTGTTCTGTATAACCTAATAGTCAAAGCATTCTGGGCAGTTTAAGGCAATTCATAAAATACAATAACATATATTAGAGCAACGTCCACGGAAAATCCATTATATGGATAAAAATGACATGCAAAATTGCATGCATTTTATGCATATCCATGCAAATGAATATATTTGGAGAAACGTCCCGAAAGTAAGCGTCCATGCAGACTCAAAAATGAAATATATTACAGACCGTGTTCCCCATTTTATTTCTACAAAAGAGACATAGAAGGGTTGGGGAGGGGTCTATGAGTTGAACCCAGTTCCATCAGGAACCCATGCGAACTTGGCTGAGATGCTAATTTAACCTAATGGGATAGGGTTCCCATTGGCTGTGCAACCAGGAAATCTCACCGATCGTCTTGCAGAGGCCATGGGCTCATCCGCACCAGTCGAGTTGGTGCTGCACAGCATTAAAATTGCCACAAGCGATGTCTTAAAAAAGAACAGGAGAAAAGATGAAGCAGTGGGCAACAGCTTTGCCATCGAGACATCTGGATTCTCGGTTTGCAGGACGGAAACGAAAGCAGCTGCAGCATGAAGGTATTAATGGTTAACTCTGCTCCAGTGAAAGGGCGGAGGAGAATGTTCTCCAAATTCTGTAATTCGGTACATAACCTTGCAGCGCCCAGAATGCTCTGGGGCAGGTCCGTGCTCAGCACAAGCCAGGGTCTCCTTGGTTCACTTGAGGAAGTTTCTGGAGCGGGTCAATGTTTAACTGGCCTGCATACACGTGGGGAGGCTGTGTGGAGTAGTTACCATGGAAATGGGGGCCCATTTGGCCTTGGTATGCATCTCTCTCTCTCCTTCTCTCTCTGTATTTTCTGAAAGAAAAATACCGCGGCCAGGTGCACCTCCAAAGACAACGGAAGAAATTGAACGCTAGGAATATTCTTCTTGAGGAACTCTCTTCCTGAACTGGTCTGCAATTTAAACTTCTCCAGAGCAGCCTTCCCGGAATTCCATGGAGGTAGAATTGGTTAAAATTCCCCCCATCTGAGGAATACCTTTTCCAGTTCTAAGATTTGAGGATTATAATATATGCATTTAAAAAAAAACCTAGAGGATTTGTGATTCTTCCAAACGTGACTTGACAGTAAGCCGGAAAGATGGGCTTGAACTCCTCCAAGGCCCCGAGGAAGGTGACTAAAGTAGCCCCGATGCCAATCAAAGGGGACAGGCTGGCGCCCCCCAGCAGTGGGGCTGTGTACACTTTCCAGAGTTCTCTGCAAGAGAGAAACCCAAGCTCCACTGCCTCCTGGATGGGGAGAAATCCAGCATCGGAAAAATATCTTCCCCCGCTGCGAGAAACATGGCAAGGAAGATATGCCGCAGGTAGACCTACTTTTATTCTCCTTTCTTGTTTTCGGGAGTAATTGAACCAATCCAAAGCCTGGTTTTTCACAAAGCCCCCCCGAATTCAAGGTGCACCCCAGTCTGCTGCTCACATGAATGTGCGGAGCAGGTCCCTGATCCTGCATTGCTTCTTACTGGAAGCATGAGGAGGTCTTAAGAGGGCATAATGCCAGCAGGACTGTACCTTCGCACAGTAATAATCCCTCCATCCAAGTTGCAAGTGGATTCACTTTCAGGCCAAAGATGGAATAGAATCATAGGATTGTAGGATCGTATGATCGCAGGGTTGGAAGGGGCCAAAAGACAAGCAGGTCCAACCCCCTGATGTTGCAGGACACCAAGTCACACCACGCCACTCAGGTGGCTGTCCAGGTTCACCTTGAGTGTCTCCAGTGTGGGAGAGCCCCCCACCTCTCCAGGCAGCTGGTCCCACTGCCGTATTGCTCCGACAGTGAGGAAGCTTATCCTGAAGTCCAGCCTGAATCTGGGTTGCTGCAACCTGAAATGATTATTCGATGTCCTGCACTCTGGCATCAGCAAGAAGAGATCTTGACCTCCCTCTTTGTGGCAGCCTTTGGGGTCCTTATAAAGGGATATCATGTCCCCCCCTCAGTCTTCTCAGGGCTGAACATGCCCAGTTCTCTCTGTCCCTCCTCACAGGGCAGTGTTTCCAAACCCCGACCATTTTTGTCGCCCTCCGCTGGACCCTTTCTGATTTACCTGCATCTTTCTTAAATCTTGCTACCCAGAACTGGACACAGTATTCCAGGTGAGGTCTGACTAGTGAGGAGTAGAGAGGAACTACTACTTCTCATGATTTGGGAGTAATACTTCAGTTACTGCACCCCAAAATGGCAGCCACATCGCATTGTTGGCTCCTATTTAGCCTATTGTCCACAATAACTTTTTCTTTTTCAGCTCTGTCGAGTCACATATTCCCCATCTTGTATCAATGCATTTGGTTTGTTTTCCTGGGTGGAGGACTTGGCTCTTGTCCTTATAGAATCTTGTTCTGTTGCTTTCAGCACAGGGTTCAAGCTTATCAAGATCGCCCTGGATCTTCATTCTGTCTCCTGGGGTTTTTGCTATTCCACCCAGTTTTGTATCATCTGCAAATTTAATTATCATTCTTTGAACTTTTTCATCTAAATCATTAATAGAGATGTTGAAGAGCAGTGGGCTTAGACCTGGTCCCTGTGGCACCCCACTAGTTATCTCCCTCCATAAGAAGTATTAAAAATGCAGAGAAAGTATCCATTGAAACAATTTATGGAAATCCATGCTCAGGCACACCTGCTGTGATTATTGTACGAGCATGAATGCTCATTGCAATTTTTTAAAACCCAAATTGGATAGGTCCCTGTCCTGAGGAGCTTACAAATCTATTCAGGATGGTTCCAGAGATACATACTTGCAATGTGGTCAGTTCAACAGTATTTTTGGGGACTCAGAACTACTTTCTTGTCTGGAAACCTCCAAATGTGTTGGAGCACAACTCCCATAATTTCCATTGACCATCCTGGCTGGGGATGATGAGAATTGGAATCCAGTGCACTGGCATGGAGATGCGTTCTCTAAGCAAATGCTTTCATCCACAGGTATGCCCACATTTTAGGTCCTTATAACACCCTTTTCCCCTTCCTTTTTTTCTCTGAGAGTAGACCATAAATGACACATTTTTCATATAGTTTTGCCTCACCATTTGTTACAATTGGCCAGAAAAAAGGGGAAGGGAAGTTTGACACATAGCTATGAAGTGTTTATTCATTTAATCTATCAAGACATTTTCTCTTCAAATGGATTTGGAAGGGCTCATTAAAAAAGAAAGAAAGAAAGGCAGTTAATCTGCAATGCACCAAAGCGGTTAAAAGCAACCAAAACATAGACGAAATGGACTAGACGAACGACAAAGAGGAGAACCGTATAAGCGACTGGCATGCAAAACCCTGTGAGGCTCTCAAGACAGGTGAAGCTCCTCTAGAGTGCCTGCGACTGAGTTGGGCACAAAAAGTTGGCATGCGCCCCCTTCCCGCCAGTGGGCATTGGGCGCTTCCTCCCAGCAGCCCCCCAGTGCGGAACAGCCATGCCAACTGGGGTGGTTCTGCTCAGAAGGAGGGTGAGGAAGGGGGGAGAGGGCAGAGGGGTTTAGACTGATGCTTGGGGTGGAGAAAGAGGGAGGGAGGGGTTTTTCTCCTGCTCCCGTGGCACTGGAACCCGGCGCCATCCCATGAAGCTGGTGGGTGGGAGGTTTTAGGCGGCCAAAGGGAAGCCGTTCTTCACCCTGCGTATGGTGAGACTTGCTGCCACGGGAAGTGGTGGTGGCTGCCAACGTGGGTGGCTTTGAAAGGGGGCTGGACTGGCTGATGGAGGAGGAGGAGGAGGCCCTCAGCGGCCACTAGCCTTGCTGGCCATGGGCCACTTCCTTCACCAGAGGCGGCCTGCTGAGGTGTTTGGGCAGACAGACTCTTGCACCCACCCTGCTGGAGGGATCCTGCGGGCAGCTGGCTGGCCCCCGGGTGCGTAGAGTGTTCGACTCGACTAGATCAGACTTCCCCAACCAGGATTCCCATCCTGCAGAGCCACGGACTGGGGATTTTGGGTGCTGCAGTCCAAATGTTTCTGGTAGGCAGAAGGTTGGGGAAGGCTGGGCTGGATGGGCTTTTGGCCGATCCAGCTTGGCTTGCCTTATGTTCTCACTTGACACGGAGCCAGGCCAGGTCCATCCAGCCCAGAATTGTTGGCCCGGACAGGGTGCAGTGGCCCTCTGGAGTTGCAGGAGATGCTCAGGGCTGAACCACAGTCTAGTGTTCAACCCACTGAGCTTGCCCACCCCCATCGGAAGAGCATTCCAGAGTCTGCAAGATGCAGGGCTGGGTTGGTGTGGACACCAAGGCCTTGAGAGCAGGGGGCAATTCAGCTAAGGGTTGCCAGGTGTACTCTGGGGGGCAGTCCTCCATTTGAAGAGCTGCCAGAGGACTGCCCACCATATGAAGGTGTCCGTGATGTTAGACAGAACAGGCAGGCTGAAAGGTTTCCTGGCAACAGCATTCCTCACGATGGTGAAAGAACGTTATTTCTATTGACATGATATTAATTATTCTAAATTTGCATTTAGCCATACTAATTAGCACATGCAAATTGCATGCAAATTGCCTCTTCTGACCTTTACTTATGGTGGTGGGATGCATTGCCTTTGTGTGACTCGTATGTGTGATTTCTAAGTAGCCGCCCTAAATGCAGCTCTGCTGCAAGGTTGCCAAAACCTGAGATCTGACCGGCAATTTCAGGTTTTGAGCTGCTTCTCTTGGGTTTTGAGAAAGGAGTAAATTTTCAGGGTGGGAAGGCAGGACAGCAAAGACGTGTTCTTGCTCTTAGAGGCTTTGCAGAGGCAACTGGAAACTGGACACTGACTATAATTGGATCTTTTGGTCTGAAACAGAAGGCTTTGGGATCACCATGTAGAGAAATCCAGCAGACTTCTCACATTTCCTGAGCATTTTCGGGAGACTCCTCCTGAGCATTCCATGAACATAAAAACAAGAAGGCAAAGCTTTTACAAAATAATAAATTGTCCCTAGATATATTCTTGCCCTGTCCCCAGATCATTTAGCAGTCAATTGCCATCTTTCTGACATGAAGAGATGTCCCTCTGCTTAGAGAGAAGTTGGATTTTACAAGCTGGGAGATTCCGTGGGGAATACAAATGAGTTCTGGGCATTTTAGCAACAGATCCTGAGCATGTTACGACAGCACAGGGCTTACTTGAATGCCAAGGCCTGGTGAAAAGCAAAGGAAAACAAAAAGCAATTTCTATTGTGCATGATGCTGACGTTTTTTCCTGCAGTACAAACTTTGTTCTTCGCACAGCTGTTTTCACACTTGACTGATGCTGGTGTGGCAGATCTATAAATGCACTTGACGTGGTCCGTCACGAGGGAGCGGGAGAGGAGACGGAGCTCAGGTGCCTCCTCGGACGGACGCACATTTGCTACAGCAAGTGCATTGCATGGAGCTGTCCACGTTCCCTGGAAGTTAGCCGCTCCCCAACTTTTCTTTTCTGGGCGTCATGGACGTTTTTGCAAAATAGGAGACACCCATTATGCAAAAATAATTAAAGGCATCAAACAAGCAAGTGCCAACAGTTTAAAAACCCACAAAAAGGGCCACCAGAATGGCCAACATTTTAACTGGGGAGAGAGAAGGCACCCTGTTACCAAGAAGTTCAGCCATGCTGGCTTCCATGCATTCTTGGGGAACATTCCCACCCCCTGGCACATTGCCTAAAGTATCTGCATCAGTCTTCCCCAGGCGGGGACTAGCAAACAGAACCATGGCCAATGTTAGCAGAGAATGATGGGAGCTGTAGTCCCTTTGAGGAAGGCTGGGGATGATGTATTACAGCAGGCCAGGTATGTTTTGCTTGTGCCTTACATTGGACCAGTGTTCTCTTGAAAGCTGTAACTAGGTTAGGCATGGGCAGTGTGCTCTTCCCTCCCCCGCCTGCCCCCCCGCCGCAGAGGTCTTCCCATCCCATCTTCCTGGGGGAGGGGGTGCCCTCAGGTCTCTAACTCTTTCCCTCAGCCCCCTAACCTGGTTTCCAGCTTTCAGGCATTACGAAAACAATGTCCTAGCCAGGAAAACCTACCCCAAGCGGCTGAAAACGTTCCTGTAGGATTCAACCCCGTGGATGCATTAACAGCAATTAAAATTAATTAATGCATTTTAAGACCAAGTAACCCCACGGTACATGACCCTGCAGGATGGCAGCGATGTTCAGTTGTCTGGGTTTCATCTGCTCGGTGCCGTGGTGCTAGCAGAGAGACAAAGACTTGCTTTTGATTTTATTCAATGTACGCAAAGCAACCAGGCCCATTTTGTGATGGGCAGGGCAGGCCTGGCGGGTGAGGGGAGAGCGAGCAAGAGAGGGGCCGCCGCTTCCGAGACCCTGCTGGACTTGTGCTCGCCAGGACGAGCGAGCGAGCAAGTGAGCGAGCACGCTTCTTCCATTTCCCACGCTGTTTATTCCCTCTCTTTCTGCACCCCTGTGGAAAGGGGCCAGGGCGAGGGGAAGGGGGTGCAGCCCCCCAGGCAAGCCTAGAGGGGCAGAATTGGCTGCCAGGCCTGGAGCTCTGCGCCCCTCTTGGGGGGGGGTGTTGGTTGATAGCAGTAAAATATAGCTGGGCACAGTGAGGGCTGGTTTTGCCCTCTCTCCCTGTTGGGGAAGCCACAGAAAAGCTGCCCAGGCTCAACCACTGTTCCAGTGATGCTTCCCTGCCTTCCAGGGCCGAGGCTGTGTCCATCAGAGCCGGCGGCAGACGGGGGAGAAGGAAGCATCATCAAGCAACACCCCCCTCGGAGACTCCAGGTAAGGCCTCGGACGTCTCCCTGCGATGGGGCGATGGCACAATTCGGGAGCTCCCTCCTCCAGGCCTCCCCACCCTCTTGTCCTCCAGAGAGGTTGGACTACACCTCCCATAGCAGAGCCTGACCTTTCGTCCATCTAGCTGGGTATGATTAAATGCCTCCTCCGCCAACTGACTGTGTCCAGAGGCATTGGCTACAGCCTCCATCGTCCCCAGCTCCAGGGCCATGGATCGGTGAGGAGTTCTTGGGTGAAGAAAGATGGGGAATAAGCACAAGGGGGGGGGGGGCTGAGAGGAACAGGGCAGGGAGGGGTACTTGGCCCACAGGCTAAAGCCCAGAAGGCAGTAGATCGGCCCATTCACTGGGCGCGGAGTTACGTTGACCGGATGGATCTTCGGACGGACCCAAATCCGCACCGTGCACAAGGGAAGGCCAAGAAATCTGCAGCAGGTCCCGCTGCCTAATTTCTATGAATCTGACGGGGAGATTCTTGGGGAATTCTATGCCAAGGTTTCGAGGTGGCTAGATGGAAGGGACGCGGTGGATGTGGCTTGCCTGGATTTATTTATTTATTTAGTAAACTTCTATGCCGCCCCATTCGCCGAAGCCTTGGGGCGGCTTGCAACAATAAATAAATACATATAATCATATAAAAACAATATAATTGGATTTCAGCAACACTTTCGACAAAGTGCCCCAGGATGTCCTGGTGGAGAAACTGAGGAGTTTTGGGATACACCAAAGCACTGTCCGGTGGATTAGGGCATGGCTGACTGACTGAAAGCAGAGGGTAACCATTAGTGGGGAATCATTGGGATGGCGGCCAGTGACAGGTGGGGTCCCCCAGGGCTCTGTCCTGGGGCCGATCCTGTTTAATCTTTTCATCAATGACATGGAAGAAGGGGTGAACAGTCTGCTGATCAAATACGCAGATGACACTAAAACTGGAGCAGTGGCCACAACTGAGGAGCAGGTACTCCAGATCCAAAAGGATCTGGACAGACTGTGGAAGTGGACCGGGGATAACAGGATGGCGTTCAATGCGGATCAGTGCAAGGTCTTGCACTTGGGGCATAGGAATGGGCGTCATAAGTACAGGTTAGGGGACACATGGCTGGAGAGCAGCACTCGTGAAAGGGATCTTGGGGTGCTGGTTGACTGCAGGCTAAACATAAGTCAGCCGTGTGATGTGGTGGCCAAGAGGGCGAACGCCACCCTTGGTTGCATAGCCAGAAGTGTGGCTTCTAGAGCGAGAGAGGTGTTACTGCCACTCTGTACAACTCTGGTGCACCCACAACTGGAGTATTGTGCTCAGTTTTGGGCCCCTCGTTACAGGAAGGATATAGCCAGGTTGGAGTCAGTGCAGCGAAGGGCCACAAGGCTGGTGGCCGGTTTGCAGGGGATGCCGTATGAGGCGAGGCTGAGGGAACGGGGTCTCTTCAGCCTGGAGAAGAGGAGACTCAGAGGGGATCTGTTGGCGACATGCAGGTATGTGAGGGGGCGTCACATGGAGGTGGGCAGAGACCTGTTCTCCCCTGCAGAGGAAGGCAGGACATGTTCCAATGCAGCCAAGGTCAAGGAACCCAGGTTCAATTTGGATGCCAGGAAGCACTTCCTGACAGTTAGGACCCCGAGGGTATGGAATGGGCTTCCTCAGGAGGTTGTTGAAGCCCCATTAGGGAGGGTATTTGAGGATAGGCTGGACATGCACATGGTGGGTGTGTCGTGAGTGGAGCCGGCTGGAGCCGGGGGTCAGACTAGATGGCCCAGGATACCCCTTCTGTCTTGCTCTGTTTCTATGTTTCTGTTCTGCAGAGGACTGGCTTGTTCCACTAACGTGGACACGTGGATTTCCACTGAAGGCACCGGAGCAAGCACTTTCTCACCAGTGCTAGCTCTGGTGTGCTGGTCTGAGCTCTGGGCTGGGACTTGGGTTGGGTCCATGGTCCATGAAGTTCAATCAATGGACGGTTTGGGAGAGAGAGTCTGTGAATCCCACGCTAGAGCCTGGATTCTGGAATGGAGCAGGCAGGGCGAAGGATCTCTTTCTTGACCTCTGGAAAGGCAGGAAGCTAAATATCCAGGATTCTGTTTGCTTTGTTTTGGGATTCCCACCCCCTTCCCCCAACAGCAGCCATCAGGAAGGCGGTCTCTTGTTTATTTCTGCAAATGAAGTTTCTTTTTCCTTGACATTTCTTCCATCTGACCTTCTCTTAAATGCTGTAAAAATGTATATTCCCTTTGTTCTTAGTTCAGTTGGAGTTCTATAATTTTTATTGCCAGCTCTGAACCCTGAGATCTTGCCGGCCTCCTTAACAGGCTCTCTGCTACGAAAGACGACAGAGCTGAACTCTGTATATGCTCCTAGCAGCTCCTTTGCCCCTTCCTTCTTGGAGGAAAGGTGACTTTTTGTGTCCGATGGCAGGTGGAGTGCTTGCACACGCGTGTATGTTCTTGACTGGACTTCGTTTTGCAAAACACACTGCAGACTTGGACATTTCCATCTGCATGTAACCCTGCAGTTCCACAAGGTACGATTTGGGTAGTTTCGCATCAAGATGTGAAGTCAATCAATTTCTCACCCATTCCTAGTTGAGGGTGCTTGAACAATCGAAATGATGGGGCATTTCTGGTACTTTGAGATGTTCCGAGAGGATCCACAAGTGCCTTTCATTGTACAAATGGATGCACGAGTGCCTCTTGCTCTAGCAATGGAAGCTTGTGCGGTGTGTGCGTGAATATTGGCACGTGCATCTGAAGGCTGTGCAGTTGTCCCACATGGATACCCCCCGAGGTGTTTCCGAAGAAACACAAGGTCCTCAAGCATCTGCTTTTCTGCAGTTCTGCTACTAATGCCTGAAGGCATCCACCAATGACACACATTCTAGGAGAGCATGAAGGTTTTTCTTTGATTCTGTTAGCCATTCTGCAGGCCATTTCACTCCTTTACAAAGCCGGAAAGAAACCCAGATTGGTCACCAAAGAGATTCCGCCAATCCTGCTTCATAAAATCATAGAAAAGTAGAGTTGGAAGGGGCCATGAAGGCCATCAGGTCCAACCCCCTGCAGTCACACCATCCCACTCTGATGGCTGTCTGGTTTCTTTTTGAACGTCTCCAGTGTGGAAGAGCCCAGCACCTCTCCAGGCAGCTGGTTCCATTATTGCATTGCTCTGACCATGAGGAAGCTCTTCCTGATGTCCAGCCTGAATCTGGGTTGCCACAACTTGAATTAAATATTCCGTGTCCTGCACTCTGGCATCAGCAAGAAGAGATCTTGACCTTCCTCTTTGCAACAGCCTTTGAAGTGCTTATAGAGGGACCTCATGTCCCCCTCAGCCTTCTCCTCTCAAGGCTGAACATGCCCAGTTCCCTCAGTCTCTCCTCACAGGGCAGTGTTTCCAAACCCTGGATCATTTTTGTTGCCCGCCGCTGGACCCTTTCTAATTTACCTGCATCTTTCTTAAATCTTGGTGCCCAGAACAGGACACAGTATTCCAGTTGAGGTCTGACTAGTGAGGAGTAGAGCGGAATGACTACTTCTCATGATTTGGAAGTAATACGCCTGTTAATTCATCCAAAAATGGCATTTGCCCTTTTGGCGGCTGCATCACATTGTTGGCTCCTGCTTAGCCTATTGTCCACAGTTACTCTGAGAGCTTTTTCTTTTTCAGTCCTGTTGAGCCACATACAGTGGCACCTTGGCTCATGAACTTAATCTATTCCAGGACTCTGGTCATGACCCAAACTGGTCGTGAGCCAAGTCAAATTTCCCCATAAGGTTCAGTGCCAATAAGGTTAATCTGTTCTGCAACTATTTTTTTTTAATCACAAAAATTTGAAGTGGGTGCGCTCGGTGGAGGGAGGCGGGCGCAATTGCAGGCCCTGTGGGGGAGGCAGGTGCGCTGGGGATGAGGCGGGTGTGCTGCGGGGAAGGCAGGCGCGATCGCGATCATCACCCAATGTGGAGTTCATGACCTGAGGCAAAATTCTTCAGAAATTTCTGTTCGCGACCCAATTTGGTTGTGAACTGAGGCGTTCGGGAGCCAAGGCACCACTGTATTCCCCCTCTTGTGTCGATGCATTTGGTTTCTTTCCCTAGGCTGGGATCTAGGCACTTGTCCTCACTGAATCTCGTTCTGTTGCTTTCAGCCCACTGTTCAAATTAATCAAGATTGCCCTGGATCTTCCTTCTGTCTTCTAGGGTGTTTGCTGTTCCACCCAGTTTTGTATCATCTGCAAATTTGATCATCTTTCCTTGTACTTCCTCATCTCTAGTTCCTTCTCTGATGATGCATGTATTGCTAAGCACCTGTTTGTCTCGTTCAAACTTTACATATTATTATTATTATTATTATTATTATTATTATTACATTTTTATACTGCCCATAGCCAAAGCTCTCCAGGCAGTTGACAGCAATAATCATAGACTCATACGCTCAAGTCACCCATCCCCCTTCTGCCCAGGCCTGACCCTGCTTAGCTTCCAAGATCAGGCAGGATCAGGCACTTCAGGCTACATGGAAGCTACATATTTAGGGGCACTCCTAAAAGACTGACTGCATGAAGGGCATGCCGGTTCGTGCCAGGAATTTTTTTTTTTTTTTAATTTACCCATCAGAAGCACCAAAAATGGCCGGAACCGTCAGCTTTGCCACGTTTCTTGCTGCCACCTAGTGACCAGGCCTTGCTTCAGATGGATCTTTGCACATTGCCACGGACTTCGGGCGCAATCTGAGGTGTGTTTGACAGAGAAAGGACCTGAGCTTTCCAGCACGCTGAACAGGTGCAAAGGGTTAACAAGGGTTAACAACTTCAGGTGTGTAATTTCTAGGCCTTAGTAGTAGAATGAGGAAAACACAATTTTTCTGTCCAGGAAGGTACTGTGCAGACCAGTGTAGCTGCTGTGTATAAACAAAAGTTTTTAAAGAAGCCAGCAGTGTTCTACTTGTGAAATTGGATTCGGTTGTAGGATCCTATGTGGGTAAATCTTGTGTGGGTGGAAACGCCTGCCAGGAAGTTGTGTGCAAAGGGTCAAGAGATTATAAATTTAAATAGAAGAACTGGTACCTACTTTGTATTCTTTTCGGTGCTGGGTGAAGTCCTTTTTATTTTCCTGGTATTTTAATACTTTAACTTTTTAACATTGTTTTTATGTATTCCATTTTATTCTGCGCTGCTGCTATGCTTTTATGCTGAATCATAGAAAATGTAATTGCTATTATAGGTTTATTTGTTTAAATTAATGTGTGTGTGTGTTTGATGTTTGTTAACTGCCCCGAGTGCCTTGGCAATTGGGTGGTCTACAAATGAAAGATTAAACAGACAGACAGGCAGACAGACAGACGGGCAGAGGAAGAGAGAAAAAAGTTTGTACTTGAGAAAGTTTGCAAAAATGGACAAGAAACTGTCTTGAGGTTCTTGCAGCAAAAGAGGATTAGAGAGGTGGCATCTGCCAGCCAGGTTGAGTGGAGGCTGGTGCACCAGAGGGGGGAGCCACCCACCCAGGGAGTCCAGCACCCCTCCAGGCAGGCCTTGGATCAGGGATATAGAAGGCATGACTCCCCTCATGTTGCTGGACTCCAACTCCCATCAGCCAGCCATGAGGGCTGAGGGGAGATGCAGTCCTACAAGGTGCTCATCATCGCCCCCATCTATCACCCTTCGCCAAGTGCCACCTGGCCAAGAATGGCAAATTCTTGTGCCACTGTTAAAGCCTCCTGAGATGTCACCGAGATTGCGGAAGTCCTCTGCAGCCGAAAGTGCTTGGCTGCAGGCAGTGGCAGGAGCAAAGAGGGGCCACAGTGGCTGGGATGGGCGCTCTTTCTGAAGGGTTTGGGACGGCCTGTGACATCCAAAGCAGTGCTAAACCGGGTCTGCTGGACCTCTTTTGATCTGGGGACCAGATTCCATTTCAGGGATGACTTTGAGGGCCACGTTCCAGTGATGGTGAGGCTGATGGTGATGGGGGTAGATCCAAGAACCAAAATGATCAAAATGATCATCACTGATGCCCCAGTGGGGCTCCTGACCCATGGTCACTGTTATTCTGAGCCTTATAGGAGTCACCCACAGGGCTCTTAGTGATGAACCTAGTTCAGGAATGGAATTCAGCACCATGGATAGCTCCCAGGAGAGGAAGGCTTTGGCTTCTAGACCTCAGATGTCACAGCCTGTGTTAAATGGTCCAACTTTTCTTGGCTTTGTAGAAACTGGAGCCCTTCATCCTTGCCAAGGACATCCCTCTTGACAAGAATGCGAGCCTGCAAGTTGATGCAGTGACACGCCGAGCGAAGGTAGGTTGGTTTAGCAACCGTAAGAGGAAAAACATTAATGGAATACAGACTGGTGAATCTTTGGATCAACCCCACACGGCATTCAGCACACTCATTAAAACATGCGCTGGACATGGGTCACCTCATTCATAAGTACCTCAAAGGTTGTCACAAGGAGGAAGGTCAGCATGTAGGACACTCTGAATAATCCATTCAAGTTGCGACAACCCAGAGTCACATTGGATATCAAGAAAAGCTTCCTCAGTGTCAGAACAATATGACAGTGGGACCAGCTGCCTGGAGAGGTGGGGGGTCTCCCACACTGGAGACATTCACAAAGAAACTGGACAGCCATCTGGGTGGGATGGTGTAACATGGTGTCCTGCAACAGCAGGGGGTTGGACCTGATGGCCTTCATGGCCCCTTCCAACTCTTCTGTTCTATGAGGTTCAAATCTTTCTGTTGCCCAAAGTCTTGGGGAATCATGACTCTCGATGGCCTGCCTGCCTTCCCAAAACCTAAGGCAACTGGAATGGGCTACATTTGGAGAGCCTGTGGATGGTAGATGTAGTCCAATGCATTTGAGTTGGGGGCGTTGCCAAAGCACAGGTCCAGGCCTGAGCTGAAAGCCTTGGTAGCCCGCTTGGGTCATGGGAAACAAGGACTAGGGGCACAGAACTGCATTTTGTGAAAAAACTAAGTGGCCCCAAATAACTTGGAAGAGCCGGTCCGTGATATTTTTTGGTGGAACTCTTGAGTCCTGGGGGCCATGGTTCCACAGTGGTGAATCCTGGTTTCCTAGACCTCAGCCTAGGGATGCACAATCGTTTTGGCCCCAAGAAACACATCCTGTGGGTGGACCACCAACATTTGCACGCCTCACACACTCAGGCACGTGTGCACAAACACACATGCGAATGGAAGCTTTGGGGTCATGTTTGTGAGTTGCTTGGCAGCGCTGTGAGTAATGTGGGGGTCTAGAAGCCACATGCGATCCGGGGCATGCTCACCTTTTCTCCCCTAACCTGAAAAGTTCAAGATTCTTTTCCTGCCCATTCTCAAATAGATGCAGGTTTTGACATTCGCAAGCTGGGGGACTCTGGTTTTAGACAGGCAAAGAGCAGAAGACTGGCAAATGCCTCTTTCCCTTTTATAGCTTGACCAGAGCACAGGAGACGAAATCCTGATCTGTTTTATGAAATGTTTGCATCTGTTTTATCCCTCCACCTACCCTGGAAGGAGCTAGCAAAAGGAGGGGAAGCTGCCATGCATCCTGCGGGAAGAAGACAGTATTTACTTAAAATGAAGATGCTGGAAATAAGGAAAGAGGTAATGCTGAAGTAGTTTAAAGGGTGGCTTTAAGAAAGAGAAATGGGGACACTCAAGCAAAGTGCCGGACTTCTATTTTGTGGATTATGTCAGGTTTGGCAGGATCCGTAACATTGTGCCTGGCTTTACCAGCATTAATGGCAACTTCTAGTTAAATGGATTGTGGAGCCATAATCTAAAGAAACACACATTACCTGATGGATCATATGGATTCTAGTCAATTGATCTGTCTATTAAAAAGACATGTGGGTTTAAAACAGTACTTCTCAATTTTGTTCTAAAACTATGAAACCGCTGCAGTTTAAATGGTGATCTGCTGGAACGAGCTGTTTCCGCTTTGGTGTGTTTCAAAGCCCTGAGCTGGTGTTGAAAGTATACGTCTTTGAGGATGATGTTTTCCCCCAAAGAGTCCTGGGAATGGTAGCTTCTTGAGAGCAGAGAGGGATTAGCATCCCGCTCAGCAAACTACATTTCCCAGGCTGCTCTGTACGGAAGGAATGGCTCTTCACCACTCTGAGTGACATTCTGTCTATACATTCCATGATGTGACATTTATAAACCCAGGAAGAACTGAAGAGACGTCTGCGCCAGGAAGCAAGACTTATTGAGACAAAATCAAGGATTCTCCACAGGCAAGGAGCTCTTGGGCATGTGCAAAGACACAACCGCTGTGAGGATGCTGAAGAGCTGTTCGCCACTGAGCTTGACCCAACGTTTAGTAGAAACCATGGTAAGCAACACCAAGCCATGTGCAACTTTCCTCATTTCAGCTGCACATCATGGCTCATGTATTTATTTTATTCATTTAAACTTTTCTATACTGTCCCATCACAGACATCTCGGGATGGCTTACAACATTAATAGAATAAAAATAGAAGCAAGCATATAAGTAGCACAGCATCCAGTGTTCCGTGTACAACCACAAATTAAAAAAAATTAACAGTTGGAATATTGGGAGAATGAAACGCTTTTCACCTGGCGCTGAAAGGAAGGCAGTGTTGGCGCCAGGTGAGCCTCTCATGGGGCTTGCCATGGGTTTTACCGCCGTGGGAGTGGGTAGCCCGCTCTCCCCATGCTCTCTGCGCCAGCTCCATCCTTGCGTTTAAGGCTTTCCGGTTCTTTGCTTTGAGCATTTCTCTGCTGAGTACTGGAGACCTTTTTCAAATTTTCTGGGGTGCCCCTCCGTCTTCTATCCGTTCCCCCTTTGTCTCCTCCCCAGTTCATGTCAGAGGGCTACGTTGCACATATTTAAAACATTTCTCAGTGCCACCATCTGAGCAGACCTGGGCCAGGAAGTCTGCTGACACATGGAGCGGCACCGAGCGATCCATCAGGAGCCTGGGACTATGGAGGGAGGCGCCTTCGTCTCCACCCAGAATTTGGGCAGAAAGCTCAGGGGATGGAAAGCGTTTCTGATCCAGAATGGAGCCAGCCAGCCTTGGGTGGCATCCTTCCAGGGCTGTGCTGTGGCCTTGCTGTGCTTGCCCACGGGTCTTTGGGACGGTGGAGAAGCAGAGGAGTCAAAGCCACCGCACAATCCACAGTGTCCAAGAGATCTTCTTGGAATATGTATTTATTGAGGGATCGGCTGTACTTTTAAACCACCCTATAAACAAAGTTCTTAGGGTAGCACACAGTACATGAAAGCATCCAATATAAATATTAAAACAAAAAATAAAGCAAGTAGAAGGAAGAAAACCATGGCATCATCCTAAAACCAAATCAAACCCGTCGGGTGCTGTTCTTAAAACATCTGGGGAATGAAAAGGTATTGGGTGTGAGCCAGGCATCAGGTGAACCTCTCGTGGGAGGCCCTGCCACAGGCTGGTGCCCACACTGAGGTGGCCGTTTAGGCCAACCCCCTCATTTGGGGGTCACCCGGCAGTGTACCTGGAGCAGAACTGGAATGAGACTTTAGAAAGGGATCGCAGAATCTGTTCCAGATGTCACCAGCCATTCTGGAGGTTTGACGAAAGAGCGGGGATTGGTGCCTACATCCACCAAAATTTGCCGATAGGCTACCGTGGTCTAGTTATCAGTTAAGGTGATATCTGTTAAGCATCAGTTAAGGCGGGTTCATACTTAGATGCTTCACAGACTCCCAGAAGCCTGGAGTCATTCAGATGAAAAGACACTATTCAGATGAAAGCTGACACTATTCAGAAGAAATGCCAGGAAATGCCAGCAAGACTTTGCCAAATCCTCAGCCCCCTCATTTGGCACTCCAAGGCAGCCTTCGTCAACTGGGTCTCTTCCCCTGTTGGGGATGATGGGAGTTCTAATCTGCAATGCACTGTGCATGGGGCTGCCTTGAAAACCGTTCAGAGGTTGGTGCAGAATGCGGGACCTGATTAATAACAGGGACCGGGAGGGCTGTGCATATGACTGGCTGTGACCTGCTTGCGCTGGCTGTCTGTATGCTTCCGGTCTCAATTCAAGGTGCTGGTTTTAACTTACAAAGTCTTAAACGGGTTGGGACTGCTATACCTGCCGGAGCATCCCTACCTGGCCACTACAGACGTCTCTGGGGTCTTCTTCCAAGTGCCAGCTCCGAGGAAAGAGTAGCCACTAGGGGAAGGGCTTTCTTGGTGGTGACCCTGCATCTCTGGAATAGTCTTTTTAAGACTTACTTGGCCACCTGGGGGCCTGAGAGCAATCAGGAATTTCAGGGTCACTCTTTTGTTATTCCTCTTTCCTGTCAGTTTTTATCATGTTTTTAGCTGTCACTAAAAAGCTTTAATGATATTTGTACTGTATTTTTATGTTCTTATGCATACATTGCCCAGAAAGCTTCAGCTGTGGGGCAGTATGGAAATGAAAAGAATGAATAAATAAAGTGGCACAGCTGAAGGCCACAAGGTGGGAGCTGCTTTAGGCAACATGGCAGTGCCAGACCACGCCAAATTGGCCAATAAAAAGCATCACAAGGTTATCATAAATTTTTCCATGGCTTGCTGGCTACTGATTTTTCTTTTGCATCTTGCTGGCGATATACAGGTATGTGAGGGGGTGTCACATGGAGGTGGGTAGAGACCTGTTCTCCCCTGCAGAGGAAGGCAGGACACACTCCAACAGAGCAAAGCTCAGGGAGCCCAGGTTCAATTTGGATGCCAGGAAGCACTTCCTGACAGTTGGGACCTCGAGGGTGTGGAACGGGCTTCCACGGGAGGTGGTTGAGGCCTCATCAGTGAGGGTGTTCAAGGATAGGCTCGACATGCACATGGTGGGCATGTCTTGAGTGGAGCCGGCTGGAACCGGGGATCAGACTAGATGGCTTGGGAGGCCCCTTCTGACTCACTCTGTTTCTATGTCTTTCCTTAGACAATCTGTGGAGTGGAGGCCTTTTTAAGGAGCACAGGCCAACTGAATCCCATCATGGTCAGAGGAGTAAAGTGGAAACATGGCTGCTGAAGCAGCAAGAAGCACAGAGAGACTGTTCTTCAGATGCATCAAGCACTGACTCGGATGCTTGGGACAGCTTTGGGAAGCCTTGCCGAAGACATGCTTTGGTGAGAACCAAGACGGAGAGGATCTCCCTTTTTGATGAGTTTTTTGATCAAGACTTCTGAGCTAAACCATCTTAGTGCCAACACATTTGGAAGGCATAAAGCTGAGGATGATTTTTTAAAATAAGTATTGGTTCTTCTTCCTCCACCACAAACCCTGGAGGGGCAGATCGGGGGCCCTACTGTGGATTTAAGCTGGTCTCAGCCCTTCCCTTTTCTCAGGTAACTCTGGAAAGCCGAACTCTGTACGGAGGTTTCAGCGGTCCTTCGGATGATCGAGGGATCTACAGTTCTTAGCATCCTTTGTAGGAAAGCCATCACAGCTAAAGGGGTGTGAAGCCAATGCAAAATTCTTACCCTGGAAACCACCCAAGTCTATCACAAAGGGTCAAAGAGGAACGGAGGGAAATGGGGTGCAATATACTAGTGATGGTGGTTGGAGAAAGGTTCCTGTTCAAAAGTTTTCAGGTATAAAAACTCATGAGGAAAAGCTCCGTGCAGAAACAGAGTTCATGTGTGCGATGCACACAGACCATGAAAAACTAGACTTGTTAACATGTAGAAACTGAGATAATGATGCTCGCCGTTCTGGAATATTTGCATACTCTTCTCGACACACACCTGTGATGCTACAGGAATGCCAAGTAGGTGCCATTCCTCATGTCTTGCCAAAACTTTTAACTCTAGTTTGTATTTGCAATGTCTTGTGTCCAGCCATCTAGGACCGGGCACTTCAAGGTGAGGAACTATGGAGATGCTATTCAACATTTGGATTTGGCTGAAAGAAACCAAAATAATAGGCAGACAGAGAAATTGTCCAAAAGAGAAACATGAGATTTATTTCATGGCAAGGGCTGAAGTGATTAGTGCCTCTTCTGGAGCACAGAAAAAGGAGCTGGGTTTCCTTTCATTGACTCACTCAGTCAGCATCTACTATTTAAGTGTGACGAAACATTTCCTTTCCTTGCAAAGGGTATTAGTAACCCAACACCTGGTGAAGGAAGCATGAAACCTGCACCGTCATCAGATAAGAGACCTCGAGCTAAATGGTTTAGATGACAGAGATAACTTACAATGTCCATGTTTGGACTAGGTGAAAGCTATTTCCTTGTACAAAATTTCTCCCCTCTTCCTTTCTCAGCACTTTTTAAATTGTATGGACAAATTAGATTTGGTTGATGGCCTGTGTGTGGGTCTACTGAGACCCACAAAGTTTTCTTCCAGCAACTTTCATATTTCTAAGTGAGATCAGCACTACGAAGACTTCCTAAAGGCTGAGATGTGAACCACATTCCTCTGGACAATGTTTTACATCAGTCAATCCATCCCCCACCTGCCAACTAGAAACTTTTAAAACTCTGCTCCACTTCCACCTCATGGATTTCCAAGGCATCCTGCCCCAGCCGGGTACGTCCCAGATGCTCTGGACTACACCTCTCTTGCTCTCTTGGACTACAACTCTACAACTCTCTTGTTTAAATATGGATGATGTTGGTTGAGGCTGACAGGTGCTGAACTCCCAAAGTTCTCAAGGATACCAGGCTGATAAAGGCTGTCTGAAGAATCAGCACGGAGTCTGAATGCTGCCCCTTCTCCACACAGAATGGCACTTGAAGGAGAAGGCTATCAACCCTTCTGCCTGGCATGTAACTTGGGGCAAGAGGCAGAGCCAAAGTGGTTTAAGGTGGGGTAGCAGGAGCAAGAAGTCATCCAGAAGGCTTTGATGATGGGACAATAGAGAAAGGAAAGAGGTTGAAAGAAAAGTGGCTCATTGTAGCACAGCGAGAATGGAGTGTTTGTGTGAGCAGTCACTGTTATCTGCACCAGACAATTTTGCTTCGCTGCTTCCTGAACAGCAGCTGCAACTGTTGTATAAATGATGCATAGGCTTTGAGGACAGCGGTTTTAACTTTCACTTCTTAATGTGCTTTATATCCTCTATTGCCTAATTGGCATTGGTTTGAGATGGCATGACAAGAAGCAAGCCATCTGGAATGGCAAAGGAGTGCCCGGATGAACGATGGCAAATCTGTGGAATCCCAGACCCTGCCACACGGTCGTGGGATTCCTTCTGAAGGCAAGAGTGCCTGGACTTGGCCCACCGGGAACGTTTTGCTCTCTCTAAAGGCTCTCTCCACTGTTGGGGGTAGAATGGTGAGCTAGCCACCAGACTCGGGGACAGAAATGATGCACTGGGGGGACGTAAAGGAAATCAGCGCTAAAGAATCAGAACAGGAACAAGGCCAAGGTAGTGCTTGAACTTATGTTCAGTGCAATTCTGTGCATAGAACAATTCTATGCATGGTTATTCAGAAGTGAATCACACTGTCCAGCTAGATTTACTTCCTGGTGAGTGAGTTTAGGTTGCGGACCACAAATGAATGAAAACAAAAGGTTTTTTTTTTTTTTTTAAGACTCAGGAACATGCCTCAGTGCCTTGCACTCACAGGACAGAGCACCAGAAGGCAGGAGCAAGGATACCCCTTATAACTAACTTTGGGGGAATTTTGCCTCCATCCTCTTATAGCCCAGAAAGAGGTCTTGAGCCTTCTTCCTTTTGCTGAAGATGACAGTGGCAGAAGGTAGACTATCCGAGTGGACAAAATTAAAATAATTTTGTGTATTTGTAATTTAAAAACACCTTGTCAGGTGGGCAGTAGCAGGAACAAGTCCCGGTGCATCAAGAGGCAGGGAGCAGCTGGCCTTGCAGTCAATGGGAGGTGGAGGAAAGTAAAATACCCTCAGTGTGGGCATCAGTATCAGTCTCAGGTTTGGCATATCCTTGTCTGGCAACCTGAGAGCGGAAGCCCTTCCATAAGATAGAGAAGTTGCTGAAAACTGAGGGGACCGGAAGTGGGTCCAGTCGTGTTTGGCATAATCTCAGCCAGCTGGAAAGAAAAACGATTCCCAGACTAAAATTCACACATGTCTAAAAAGCACGTGATACGGATTGTCTGAGAAGGAAGCTGAAGGAGAGAGGCCTCCCATCCAGCCCAGCAGGGCTCCTTATGTGCCTATGGTGGTAGTGAGCATTTGCCTGTCTGAAAATTCTCCCTTCCTTCCTGGCTCACTTCCTGTAATGTCAAATAGGAGAAAGGAGAGAGAGGTCATAGAGAAAAAGGGTTTCCACTCTCAGAGAGTATCTTTCAAGCTTTGATGAATTCGGTGCTATGATGGGCTTCTCCAGTAGCTCATTTTAACTCTGGCCAGGATAAAATGTCTGGGGATACCCAAGAGAATCTCAAATGCTGAGGCAAAGCAGGCCCACTGGTTCTGCCACCCAAGCCTTCTCAGCTTGGAAAGAGCCGCAAATCAAGGTGCCTTTCAGAGAGGAGGTGGTGAGCCACACAAACGGTACCTGGAGAGAAGTGCCAGTTTTAAATTAAAATCCTTTATTTTTCCCAAATACAATTCACAACTTATACATAGTGGGGGAGATGCTCAGTCTGTGCAAATAAGGATGGCCTTCCTTTCAACTTACCAAGCTGTCCAGAATGAGTCTTTCTCCAAAGGGTGACTAGAGGTCAGGTCCTCTCAAATGTACAGTAACTCGAGCCATTTTACAAAATGATAGTTGAATCCTTAACATACAATGTAGTAAGGCAAAGTTGAATTCTGAAGATTTTCCTTTCAATATAAGGAAGCAATCTAGTTTTCCATGAGTCATCTAGGGTTGTTTTTATCCTTTGCTTATATATGTATTATATACCAATGCTGTCACTGCTGAACTGCCAAAAAGAACTGATTTGCTTTACATATTGCACTGACAGACAGAAGTACACACTGTGTAACTGCTGAGAAAAGATGTTGGCCTTAACAAGCCCGTGTAGCCCATTTTAAAAGGGGGAAAAGTTCAAACTCAATATTTGGACACTCTGCCAAATAATTCAGAAGAAACTTAAAATTGCAAGAGTTTTTGGCTTTTGCAAAAGTCTAGAGAAAACGAACGCCATTTAAAAATGGATGTTATGAACTCTGAAACTGATTTTCAAGACCAAGAATGGAAGACTAAAGCCTTTTTAGAAAATGGAAGCAAAACAGTACGACTCCAAATCCAAATTTGTTCCAACTGTTTTAAAATAACATTTCTTTAGCTATTATCGTGATAGCTTTAATTAAATAAAAAATCAATCCAATTTGCATTAATTTGTGGTTTGTTTGTTTTAAAAAAGATCCCTCACTCTCTTTAAAGGAAAAAGTGCATCAGACTCCCTTTTAGCAGCTACTCAAGGTATTTTTTTTCTTTTTTCCAAAAATAGCTCACACTTCTTGCTATAAGAGAAGGGCTTTTTAAGCCCTTACATGGGAGACATATCCAAATTATAAATGAAATAATTTATTATCAAATCCAAAATTTAAATAAAAGCCATTCTTGCAAAGACAAAAAATCAAGAAAAGAAAAGCATGCACTCAAAAATTAGTGGTGGAGACAAATATACGTTATCTATACAGGCACTGGCAGACGCAATTTAATTGTTACTGTTACTCGATGTAACACACACCCACCCTACAATACATTTTTTCATTCACTAATCACTGAGGTACCAATATTTAAGAATGGAAAGTTCAATATCGAAAAATAAAACCTAAAGTTGAAACCATTTTAATTTTCCCCAGAAAAAAAATCTATGGTGAGTTTTGTATGAAATGTTAGTATACTTATAGAATTTTACAATCTACATTGGCTTCTCTCTCGAACCCCCCAAAATGTTGTGTTCTGCATACACAGGTTCTCGGATAAAATGTTCACTGTTTATATAACAAGAGTCAGTCGGCTTGCAAATGAAAAGAAGGGAACTTGGCTACCTAGTGGCACATCTTCCTGGCTACCAAGAGGATCTGAAGTCCGAAACAACCTGTTGCGAATTCAGAACAAGATGTGCCAAGCCACACAGTGCAACGATTTGGGTGCGACGCTCGATGGGACACGCACAGAGAGGAGCTGCATGGAAGATACCGCGTCCCCCTGCAAAGCAATTCCACACAATTGCAGTGCATGCAAAGGACGCGGCTGCCATGTTGGTTGGGAAGAGAAGTCCTCCGATTAACGCAGCCACAGTTTAAGACGCAGTGCATCAACTCCATTTAAATAGTATCTGAACAGCCTCTTGTCTCGCACAAAGCCAAGGTTTTCATAAAGTTTCAATGCAGACTTGTTTGTGATCTCTGTCTCCAACACCACCTGCAAAAGAAAGCGCATTTTTCAAGGAGAGAAACATTCTTCTTGGGCTTGGCAGAGAACAAATTGTAGCAGCTCTGCAGAAACCCACCAAGTCAACCTGAATATGCATCTCAAGGCAACAGTCAAGTTCTCGAGGAAGAGCGTGTTTCATATGTCATCTTCCAGAAGCCCTATGCCAGGGAAGACTGCAAGAGAAAATTCCAGTTGTCCCAGGAATGGCTTTAGGAATTCAAAAGTGCATCTTCAATTCCCCTGACATGGGCACGTGTAAGGTGTTTACAAAATTAAACTAATGTCCTCGGCTGTAACAATTCACAACTAGTGATGCCGCTCTCAGAGGACTGGATGAGGCCTGGGGAGATCTGGCGCAGTCTCTCTTCAGCCAGGAGCAGAGAGAGACCAAGAGCTTGTTCCTTTCCCAGGGCCAGCAACCACCAGCTAACCCAGCACCAAATGTGTATTTTAAATATATATTGGATGCTACTTGTAAGCCGGCTTGAAAGGATTAGCATTCCTCAAGAGAGGATATGCACAACTGTAATAAAAAATAAAGTCCACGGTGTGATGTTGGGTCAGTCTCATTTGGCCTAAGCTACCCTACAGGGTTGTTGTGAGGATAAAAATGGGGAGACTCCTGAGCTCCCTGGAAGAAGAAAACTGAATCAGCAACATGAATAGATGCAGGGTTTCAAAGGGCACTTTCACACGCACAGAAACAACTTGCTGGGGCAACGACCTGGTATGCATCATACGCCCCACCAGGATGATCAGCCACGGCGAGCTGTGGCGCCCACGAGCCTTGTGCTGCATCCGCACAGCGGCTGATCATTTTATGAAGGAGCTGCCCGGAGAACCAACGGCTTGTTCCAGGGTCGGCACTCGTGGTGGCTGATTCTGTGGTCCGAACCCGGAGAGACAGTGCAGCGGTTGGGATTGTGAGAGTGGCTAGAGAGCACGCTGCTCGCCCCTGCCATCGCCCCGCACGGTGTGGTTTGTGCCACCAGCCTCGTGCCTTGTCCCTTTTCGGGGCCCTCTGGCCCAAGCCCCTAAAAACACCAAGCCACGGTTCCAGACCAGCCACACGCACCTGCTGCTCTCCCCCACAGCCCTGCACAAATGTGCAAGGAGCAGACGACAGCCGCCTTCGTATTCTTGCCACGCTCGCTTCTGTGTGCTGCTTTTCTTGATTCCTCCCCATTTACTGCTCTACCTTCAAACATGAGCAATTGCCCCCCTCTGTGCTACTCCTTTGCCGTAACATTTCTGTCTGTTCCCTGCTTGTTACTCTGCTGCGGATATCGAGAGGCAACCGCGAGCACTGGAGGGAAATGACAAGGAGGAAGAATGAGGGGGAGTGGAAAGGGACAGACTGCGAGGGAGAAAGGCACTCCGTAGGCGGGAGTTCTTCTGCGGAACAAAACGGCGCCTGCCACCGAGGTGAGCTGAAGGGTGACATTGACAAGAGTGGCAGCAGCATGCTGGGCTAAATACCAGGGAGGGAGTCCTAAGAAGGCCCGTGAGGAGAATCAGGTGCTCAGGAAAGCTCAGGGCATCCGTTCCACTGGCATCCAACACAGCCAGGGGGTGCCGGACAGAAAAAGGCACCAGCAAAACGCTGAATCACCTGTCAGGCCTCCGGTGGGTCAAACAGCCAACGCAGGGAGGCTTCAGCGCGCCGTGGACACCTGCCTGATGCCTCACCTGGCGCTGCAGCAGGTGGCTGCCAGCTGGAAATGGTGCCACTGCCACAGCTATGGCACTTGTGGACCCTTTGCATGCAGACATCGGTGGGAATCAAAGCCCCCAGCCGAGAGCGCCTCCTCTCCTCTCCGCAGGACCCCTTCTGTCACCCTGCTCGTTCCGCCCACAGGCTCACGGCCACACCGGGGACTTCCTGCGTCCCCCATTCCCCGCACAGCATCTTCCCCTCTGCTGCAAGTACGCCGGCGCCATTGCCAGGAGGAGGGGCACGGCCAGCACAGAGAGTGCCTGTGGCAGCATCCTCTCTACAGAGCTGCAAGTCTTCTGGAAGAGCCACAGACCAATTTCTCTCAAACTGGCTCTGGGTGGCCAGAGATCGGCTGAGCTGGGGCGTAATGCGATCAACACCGCTCTGCCTGTCTTGGATGCCACCAACGTTATGGCTCAGAGGCTGTTCCCGCCTCCAACAGCAGCATTAATATCCACCAACCCTTTAAGGCTGTGCTGAATGTTAGCAGAAGGGGAACAGGTTTCCTCTTCTCCCAGCAGTACCCTGCGTGACCCCACATCTGCTCCAGGGGGTGGGGGTGCTCCAGAATGGATCTGGGGCACATGGGGGAAGGCGCAGGGGGAGAAGGGGCAGGCGACCCCACTGCACAAGCGGACTGTGGCTCGCGTAAAGCCTGGGTCCGGTCATTCACTTGCAGTTTGACACTGGGATTCTCTCATTCTGGTGGCACAGAGACTGTGTGTGGGAACAGTGCGCAAAGCAGCCAGTTTGGGTTGAAAACCATTTTTAATAAATATACTGGGTTTCTAAAATGGGGTTTTTCAAATGTAACTGGATGCTTATTTTTTTTAAGAGTGGTGAAATACTGCACTTCTCTAAGACATATCCTGAACCTTGCATGCACGCCCAGAGCGGAGTGGATGCCCCTTGCAGCAGCACGGGCGGTGCAGCTGGGGTGTCCGGGGCTCCTGCTGAAGGGCTTGTGGGACCCGCCTCCCGAGTTCTGGAAAAGAAGTCTGTGCACTCAGTTTGCGCACAATAACTCACCATAAAGAAACCCTGCTGGTCCCAGACCTGCTTGGTTGGCCATGGCAGGCTGTCATGTTAAGGAAGGCAGGGCAATATAGCAGGCTAAACAAAAAAACAGCGCTCTAAAAATCAAGTAATCCGAGTTTTAAAAATGGAAATTGGATTTTGTCAACCCAGGAGCCATCAAACCACGCTTTCACCCTGTCACTCATGGCTGTTTTATTTTCGTTTGCCACTCTGCTTTTTGTCTGAACAAAGCTGGGTGCAGCGGAAAGAAGCAACACTGGAAGGAAGCCTGCAAACTTTTACCTGTGTACCTGGGAGCGAACTTGTTTCTGAGGAGAGGTGTATAAAATGCTGCTATTACCCTGAAAGTGTCATGGGTGCTGGTCATAAGGGAGACTCTGGGAATAGCTTATAGATATTCTCTCCATGGGTAAAAAGGAGAGCATGCAGAACACAGTGGGACAAAGAGATGCACAGTCCTACTTGAAGGAATGAAATGGTGTAAATGGCACTGTTTAGTTGTAAATTAACATGGGTTAGTGGTCAGAAAATATATGAAAGAAATAAAATGAAATTAAATTTAAATCTGTTGTTGTTACTATTAATTTCATTTCTCTACCACCCATAGCCGAAGCTCTCTGGGTGGTTTCTAAGTGCATCTTTTCCCTTAAAAGCAACAAATCAAACCCCAAAGAGAATTTTCAGCCATCTGCCACCTCAACACACACCTTTCAAGGGACAGTTTGCACTGAGAGGTGTGCCCAGTGGCATGGTGCGGATCCCTGCCGACGCAAAGCATCCTACTTCAGCCGTGGAATTTACCATGTCACGGGCAAGGAAGTCTAACAGCAGCTTGAAAACTTGAATGTATTCAGCCAAATCATCCGATGCACTCGCAATGCAAGAAGCTGCTCCTTGGAGAACGGCTCGGTTCAGAACATGTCACACAGTCTTTCCGTTTAAAAAGCTCGCCAGATGCGCCTCCGGAGTGCCGTGCCTCCTCGCGTTTTCGCACTTGCTAAACAATTACCTTGGAGAAGCATTGCTGCTTCAGCAAAAGGAGGCACTGAGCTGGCCAGCGCTGCAGTACATCAGCTAAAGCGGCCCTACGCCCGAGAGAGACGCAGAAGCAGGGACCATCTACCAGTCCGTGTCCCTTCAGTCTTTTGGCCTTCTGCCTTCCTCCAGCTGGCCAGCTTCCTGAATCAGATGGAAGGAGTGCAATGGGGAAGGAGAGAGGAGAGAAGCCGCAACTGCAGAAGGAGATCAGTTTGCTCGGGCATTACTTGCAAGGCGATCATCTATTAAGACTTAAGATTTATCTTGCAGGATTAAATAGAATGTTATCTTTCAGTTTTTGGTCCCAGCAATAGGCAATTTTTACAATGGAATTTTATTTTATCTCATCAGCTGAGTGGGATTATTTGCACTATCACCCTGACAAGAAAGGGGAAAAAAATCACCTAACTATAGCTAGTCATTGACTTCTTTTGTGGGTTCACAGACGAAAAGTGGCCTACGTACTTTAATGTGAACACCATCACTGCCCTGTCATTCTTCAACTATCCCTGGGATCTGACAGGTCTGCTGTATCTTAGCTGCTAAACACCTTGGGGCCAGAGCAAACCTTTCAAGCCTTTTCAGCTGCTGCTTCAGAATTAAGTAAACCCACCTGGGTCTTTCCCGACCCAACCTGGAGGCCAGGCATCGTTACCTTTTAATATTCGGTGGCCAGAGCCAGACTGTTCTGAATGCTGGTGAGAGAGACACTAGCGGGCAGTTCCCAGGTGCAGGGACTGGGCTGTCCACCTGTTATGGATGTGGCTGTGTTCCCTTTGAAAAGCAGGTACGTAGTTTGATGGTAATCCTGGGTCCACCGTTGCCAGCGGAATCCCAGGTGGCCTCACTGGCCTGGGATGCCCTTGACAAACTGTGGCTGGTGTGCCAACAATGCTTGTTCCCAGAAAGGGGCGGCCTTCCTTTTGTAGGGTCATTGTCACAATAAGCTATAGCAGTTCTAAATCCGTTTCAATGCTGCTTTGATTTTATGAGTTGTATAGTGTTTTGTTCTTAGGCACTGCCCCGAGACCTTCAGCTACAGGGAGGGTGAGGAATAAGTAAACAGCCGCTGTGACTGCGGGCAGAGGTAGTCTCGTGACTGGGCCAGTGAAATGTGCCTCAGGCAGGGCTACTCTGGGGCTTGGTTTGGAAGCCGTAGCTAGTGCAGAAGGTGGCCGCTGCAGGGCTCACTGGGAGGCCCAGCTGAGCTCACGCAACGGCTGGGTCGGTTGCCAAGCCGTGCCGGAAGACCTGCAAAGCCCACAGCCACTTGGGGCCAGGGTGCCCAGCACACCGCCCTCCCGCATGCATGGCCTGCAGGCCTTCAAAACCTCCTGATCAGGCTCTGCTGGAGATCCCAAGACCAAGCGAATGCCGCCGCACTTTGCCTTGAAATGGGCCCTTTGGGAATGATGTCCACCCTCTGGAAACCCCGCTCCTTACTCTTCGTTTGGCAGAAAATGTGCTTCAGACAGCTCCCGAGAAAGCACACGTTCCCTTTCTCTGGCAATTAATCATGTACTGCACCACTTCACTGTTCCTTCTTTTGTGCCCTTACTGTAGCCAAAGTGGTTTAACTGTGCATTTTAAATGTGACTTTAAAATACTGGCAAGTGAACTGCTTAGGAATATTAATATTAAGCACTTTGTAAGCACTGCCAATAAATAAGGAAATCGTTGGCTGTACTAGTAGTGTTTGTAATGTTATTTTTTCAGGATAGGACAAGAAACAGCTATTGAAGCAAAAGAGTACAGGGGTCAGTAATTGTAACAAGCAGCATTCATTCCGGTGTTAGCAGCATCTCAGACCTAGACTGTCCTGTGAGTTTGGGCATTTCTGAACCCAAATCTTTCCAGACAAGCCGTGCCAGGTCACCTGCTCTCCAAGGAGTGATTAAATGCTGGCCTTCAAATTTACAGACATCCTGAGCACTTGGCAGGTCTTTTTTCTTGGTTACTCAGGACAGGCTCTTTGCCAGTAAGTCCTTGCAAAAACAAGATGTCTCAAAGTCAATATTTCAGAATTGTTTTGGATTGAGTAATCTTGGATCTCTGTTTAATGAGCTAAAAGGGGGCTGTAACATAAGCCACAAGTTTTTTTTTTTTTTTTGAGTATGTCAAACAATGGCTGAGAATCATGGTTTGTGAGCAGCTAGCAAGCAAGGATGAAAGACCAGAGGCTGAAATGGGTTTCCCAACCAGACTGGTGTAAGCCATAGGCTGGTCTGCACAAGCACTAAGCAACCACTGGGCTGTTGCACTTCCACTTTTAATGCATAGCTTACTCACTGGCATGTTTGTAGGCTGTTGAACATGACATGCTAACTAGGATTACTGGATTGTTTGGGGGTAAACAACCCAGCAATTAACCCGTGGTTTGTTGTAGTCCTTAAGCACACCGCTGCTCTGGGTTTGCAGGTCGCAAATGTCCCCTTCTGCTCAAAAAGAGGCAGGTTGTTGAGTGAAAGAGAAAGAGGTGGATGGCCAGGAAGTGGCACCCTCGCTTTTCCTGCTCATGTCCAATAGTCCGTGGGCTGCCAGTGCAAGCGAACCAGCCCCACGAGACAGCACGGTGGCCGGGCAAAGGCAAACCATGATGCACAGCTGCAGAGGTCTACACAGCCGGAAGCAAGAGTGCTGAGCAGATGGAAAACAACAGCAGATGCCTGGTGGTACATTTGAACGCTTAAACCCTGGCCTAGGTTCTAAAGAAGGATTAGTGTTTATTGAAGGCGAAATGCATTAAGCTTCTATCTCATCTTCTGCCACTTGCTTTTGGTTTGTTGCCCTGCTGGGCTCCAGTTCAACACACTAACTGTGGTGTGCTGCTGGGCATCCAGGAGGCCCACATTCTCGCCCCGACTTGACCATGAACCTCACTGGCTGACTTTGGGCCAGTCACTCACTCTCAGAGTTACCTTGCAGGGTTGTTGTTGTGAGGATTAAATGGAAGGACTATGCAAGTTGCCTTGGGTTCCTTGCGAGAAGAAAAAGGTGGGTTATAAATGTATGATGATGATAATGTAATAAAATGAGCAATAACCGGCTTAAACATGTACAATTATAGGCCCGCAAGCTTATGGGAGAAAGCACCTCTTCCTATATGAACCGACCTGATCCCTTAGACCTGCACCTGAGGGCCTTCTGAGGGGGCCTCCTGCCCAGGAAATAAGGAGGGTGGCAGTAAGAAGGGCCTTCTCAGGAGTGGCACCCTGACTTTGGAATGAGCTCCCCAGAAAGGTTTGTCTGGTACCATCTTTACACGCTTTCATGCGCCAGGTGAAGACCTTTTTATTCTGCAGGTATTTTAATTGTTAAATCAGTTTTTAATGTTATTTTAATGGAATGGGATGTCTTTTATGAAATCATGAGATCTGGTGGGTATGCTTTTATTGTTTTATCATTTTAATGTTTTCTCATTGAGTGTGGTGTTTCTATATTGTTTTTATATATTTTTTTATTGTTGTAACCCACCCAGGGAGCTGGGTGGCTAGGTTAGAAATTAATTAATTAATATCTTCTAGAGAGAAAAACTGCCCAATAATCTTACAGAAACCTCTGGAAGAACATGACACTGTGAATGGATTAATGGAATTTATTTACCCAAAAATGTAAATATTGTTTGAAGTCTCATGCTACATAAGTAAAAACTAAGCTTAATTCATGATGAACAACCTTTGGACTACAGTGTATCTTAACTGGAAAACTATCTTTAGATAGATTTTTCCTCAAAAAGCATTTAATTTAAAAAATCCAATTTAAATGAAAATTAGATTTAAATAAAACATCATTTTTTATTTTTTAAAAAATCATTTATTTCTATCCACCCTGATTTAAAGCATCAGTCCTGACTTCCAGGATCCACAGCTTCCACGATTTGCCACCCTTGACCATGCTGACTGGAGGACTGTGGGCCGAAACATCTGGAGGGCCACAAGCTGCCCACCCCTGCCCCACGAGGGTTCCCCAGCCAGCAGCTGCAGGGCTTCCTCCACATCCAGCACGTTAGTTTCAATACCAGCTTAAGTCAACAGTTGCTGCTCTCACTTGAAGTACAATACAGGCAACCAATCCTTACAAAACCTGGACTTCAATACCGCTTAAAATTCCAAAGTTACCAACACAGTGTAGTGAAGACATTACGTATCGTGTGGGGTAAAGGGCACAAAATAACTGTATGCAGTCAAAGAGCTGGACAAGCTGAATAATTTCCTAAGCCATCTGAGTTATCAAGCATCTGCTGCAGCACAAAGGCTGCTGCAAAGAGAAAGAAAGCCTGACTCCTGCTCTCGCAGAAAGAGCAGTGGTAGGAGAGGACACCCTCGCACTCCCCAACTTATTGTTTCTTTCGTAACACGCTGACATCGTTTTACACGCAAGCCAGGAAACACAGCGCTTTATGAGTGCCTGGGTTGTAGCTTCTTCAGTTTGTGAAAGCAACTACTCAAGTTCCCGGAAACGGTGGCCAAGCCAACACAGATAAGACAAGACTTTCATCTGCCCGTGAACCTGCCCCTTGTATCAGGCGCAGGGCCAAGCAGGTCAGAGACGCTGCTGGGCCACAGTACAAAGCCAGGGAGATAACGGGCAAAGGGATACCTGGCTGATCAACACCAGAGGGAACAGGAGACTGTACTGTGCTTTCAAGAGTGGGCTTTGGACTCACAAAGACATGCACTGAAGGGAATCAAAGGAGGACCCGTATTCTGCAGCTAAGCAAGGAAGCTTCAGTAGCCTGAAACTCTTGATGAACTGCACAAATCAGGAATGCTACTTGCAGCTACTCTTATTCAATACAATGCTGGCTTCTTCCACTGTTTGGGGGTGTCTGCATATGCAAAAATAGGCTCCGCAGACACAACTGCTCTGGCCAATGGAGAGAGAGACCCACTCTTTTCTCCTGGAGTCACCAAAAGTGTTCAGGATAATGTACTTTTCTGAATGCATTCTATATACTGCTGCAACTGAAGAGTTGCTTACAGTGGAAAAAGCATTTGAAAAGATGGCCTTCAAGGTAGCAAAGCAGGACAACATGGTTCCTTCAATGGAGGAAAAGACTCACCTCATCGCAATCTCCTTCTACCATGGCATAAATAGCTTTCTTAACCAGGTTTGTACCTGGAACAGAGATTAAAAGCAACAAATTTAAATTACAGGGACAAATTATCTCAGCACGAATTAACTCCTAAAGTGCAACTTATGATCTTATAAAAGACTTTAATTTAATTGGAGCAGTAAGTCAATTAGTTGTAGACATTCTGTACAACTAATACACACAGTCTCTATCTCAGAAGAAAACACTCCCCACCCACCCCACCCCTTGGGGTTTTCCACATTAAACTGGGATGGGGCATTTCCTGCCACCAAATCCTAAGTAAAACATGGTCTACTTTAGAATTTTCATCCTGCTGTTTTCACCCCAAAAGATCCTCAATGTGGCTCACAGAAAAATCTGTCTTCCCCCTAGCCACAGCATAGTGAACTCCGGGTTACAAAATGAGAGGTCTGAAATGTGCGTATTGTGAGATCCACAACTAACATCTTGATTTTAAATAAAACAGTGTTTACAATGCTAACATTCCCTGCGTTATCAGTGTTTTCTATCAGGCAAAATGGAACGCAACACTTTTGAAAGTCCCCACACTTTAAAACCCAAGGTCTATGCTTTTTCTCCTTCACTGCATTCAAAGTTCTGCACCTAGATTTCTTCTACGGAAGTCTAGGACACATAAAGATACCTCACGAGGAAAGCTGGCAACTTAGAGAGAAGGCACTGCACATAAACAAAGCACGTCAATTTTTAATAAAGCGCTGCTAGAACAATGGAAAGCGAGGCGCGTTCTATGTCTTGGAATAAAGTGTGTACTGTGGGTGGGGGAACAGGTTTTCTTCAAAGAGTTCTGCCGGGGGCACCGCACACAAGGCACTCTTGGATCACTGCCATCGTCAGCAGCGCGCAAGCTGTCTGAAGCAGCGCACCAGGAATGCACGCACCACAACTGCATGGCAAGCACCCCTCCAGCAGGGGCCTGCTCCTGCTGAATTCAGAAGCACAACTGCAGTGCCCGGCCCCCGTGTATGGATGGGTCCTGGGGTCAATGCCTAAAGGTGGGGACAAATTCTGCCTTTGCAAAATGGGTACTCTGCTGGTCTGAACAAGAAATCTGGAGCTACCAGAGTTAGTAATCAGGCACACGTGGGAGCAAGCCTAGCAAACATCCTACGGTGTTGCTTCCCTGGGGCATTTGTTGGTTTCTGTCTCCTACTCAGTGTGTTAACTATTCATGCCAGTGAAGCAAACATTCAAAATGGGTAGAAAGGGGCGACAGCTCTCTCCCAGGTAAGAGGAGAAAATGCGAGGGTGCCTTCTGAGATAGGTACAGAATCCAGGGGCTGGCAACTGGCAGTTCAGCTGTACCTGGCTGCCTGAGGGAAGCCGTATGCCCGCATCACATCTACGCAGGGGAATCATGTGTCTTAGCCCACCACACAAAGGCCTCATTGTGCCTGGCATGAAAATTTTCCTTCAAAATCTAGCCATGGGCCCACTCCAATGATTTTGGCGGCGCAAACGCGCAAGCCCAGGGAACTTGCTGAGATGACGAAGGTTTTGTTTGACAATGGACAAATTGGTGACCTCACACAATCTCAGCCTTCACGCCTTCCTGGGGATGATTGTTTTTGTTTCCTTGGAACAAACACACGCAGGCACGCATGCGCACAGAAGAAGGGCATTAGGCATTAAAGGATGTCTGCTGTTTTCCATGATTAAGTACATGCGCTTGGCGTAATTTGCATACCACTGGGACAAAATGCACAGCTTGAAGTAATTCATAATATGATGGGGAGAATCTTCCATAGTGGAAATCAAAGAGTTTTTAGGCACAGAACAGCCCCTGTCCAAGTTTGTTTCCGTAAATGCAGCGCACTGTGCATCTGCAGATGCCTTGGGGAGGTGTGGTCACTTGGAAATCATGGAAAGAGAAGAGGAACAAATTCACTCAACACAGGCCTCATGCTGTATTTTGTGTGCCGTAATATACTGAAGAAACGGAAGCAGGGGGTCCCTTCCAGGGTGAGACCCCCGGGACTGTACAGAGGTCTGGGTGGCTGGGAAGGGTCCCAACTTAACATGCAACACAGAAGGGTGTGTGCGAAAATTTCTGTTTTGAGGCAGCAACACCTATTTAGTACGTTATGAAAGATTTAAAGGACGTGCGTGTTCTTACCTATGCCTTTTCTTCTGTATTTGGAATCCACTGCTAACATGGCTATATAACCTCTGCGAAACATTTTTTTGTGCATATCCAACTTGCAGACGATGGCACCAACGCACTCGTCTCCGACCATTGCCTTAAAAAATGCAAACACAGTATTAGAGATTAAGAAGCCAATCACAGTGCCACAGAATCCACAATTTTACAGGGCCATTTATGTAAAGTCGGCACTCTGGGTGTTGAGGACAGGTGCCTCTCCAGCCAACTCAGAGTGCACCCTGCACATTTTGTGGTATGGTATACAATTTCTCAAAAGAAGTAATGCAACATTTACGGGCTTATATTCAAAGTTGTGTGAGGATAAGGAAGTTTGTGTAAGACTTCCCCCCTCTCCTTCAGTCCCCTGCATTCTTTTTGACCCTCTTCCAGAGCAGGAGATGGGCAACAGAGCTGCAGAAAGGAAGAGTTTCCAGAAGCATGTGGATACCCCTTCTCTTGCAAAATGGGGATAAACTGATTCCAATTTTGAGCAATTTCCACCTTCCACCAGCAGTCCTGCTTGCCGCATCCCATGCTGTCTGAAGAGTGGTTCTAGAGCCCTGCTAAGTGGCTTACTGGGGGCGAGGACAGGAAGATCTCAAGTGAACTTCCTTCTGTTTGTGCTACTTAGGACCTAAGCCATTACCTTCAGAATTGTTTGGCTAATGTCTTACTCTATGCAGAAACCACAGATCATGTGGCAGAGGAACCTGAATGCAATTCAGAAGATGCCTCACTGATACTACACCTTCCAGCTGCATTAGGAAAAGAATGATGAAATCCTGAAGGTGAAACTTGAGCACAATTTAGATAAATATGCTGCTCTCATGATCTGTCTTCTAATGATGCACTCAACTGCAATCAAAGAGAGGACACCAGGGGACATCCTGGCAGAACTGGCTGGAAGACTGGGGGGAAACAGCCTTGATACTAAGAACAGCCAAATTCAGGTTTTGAAATGCAGTCTGCCAACTTTAAATTATAGTGAATGTCTTGTTAATTTCTTTTAGGCCACACTGAAAGGTCACTTCCCCCAAATCTCTCATTTCACAGAAAAACAGATACCATTTGTCACAGTGGAATTTCTTAATGGTCTTTATGGTGCCCAAATGCCCTTCACTGGCCAGCAGAGGCAATCACCGCTTAAGTACTAGCATGATATTAATTGAACATTTCCTAATGCATTATTCTCATCAAAAGCCTTAAGACAGAAAAGGAAGAAATTGCAGAAAAGGGAAAAAAGTATATTTCTATATGATAAAATAAACTGAATGCACAGAAACTGATCTCTAACACAGAAAGGCTGACTTAAGTGAAAAATAATTTAGACCTGGAACTTACAAAAATGTATTTTCATGCTAAATTTATACATTTTTCTATTCATATATAAGTGTCTACCTGTAAATCTTCTGAAATTACAATGCTACAGGACAACAAAGAAACCACCCAAGTTAACTCACACTTGCACAAATTCTTATATTTATTTGGTTAAGGAAAAGATACTAGATTTAATTTGATTGCATCCAAAGGTTTTCCTTATTTAAACTGGGCAGCAGAAACCTTGAAGGTTAAGGTAGAACAACTTATGGCAGTGTGGTCCAACTTTTTGTATCTTGAGGGCTGCAGAAGGACTTTAACATGGTACCTGGGAGCCACACAATGAATTACATTTCCATATTGTAAATTAAAGTGTTTGCAATATATTTAATTTAATCCAACCAATTAATACATTCAGTTAAGCACTGAACAAGGGAGAAAACTGATATGAGATCTCAGAATTGGCTTTTGCAGTGCCTCCTCTGCAGCCCAAGCTCCATGACCGCTCCTCTGGGGTGGACCATCCCTTTCCTCCCCAATTCTCCCACTCAGAAACGCTTCCATGTGGCTCCCCCAGCTCCTCCGGCCTTCTTGGAATTGGCATGCTGGGCCTCTTGTGCTTGAGCTGACAAACTCTTCCCAGCATGCCCCGTCTCCTCCTGCTGGCGAGCGCCTTTGTGCTTGTCAACTGGAGCAGTGTGGGGCATGATGGGCGAGCTCTTGCGAGGCCGCCAAGCCAACCTGCTCGTCTTGAACCTTAGGAAGAGGGCCGGGCAGCCTCATGAGAGCTCAATGCAATCACGTCTGTGCCATCGCTGGTCTCTGGACTGGCGGGGGGTGGGGTGAGGATGAGGGAGCTCTGAGTGGCAAGAGGGCGGCAGAACAAGGCCTTGGCGCCTGCAAAGGGCCCATGGGCCAGGTGTTGGACCACCTGAACTTAAGCAACAATAAGCTGCAGAGCAACATCCAAGTTATTATGGCCCGCAGGGCAATTGTGTTCAAGTTCTGGACAGAGAGAGCAAGAGGGAAACATCTACGTGAAATACTTGATTTGATGTGTACAGCTAGGTGCTGAGACTTGTTGTTCTAATGCTGAAAACGTTAAGGGAACATCATTTTTGTGCCAAGTAGCTTGACTGTATTAGGCAACCACCGTGACAGAGCCAATGCTTGCATGGATGATTCTACAGGTTAAACTGTATGATCTTTGAAATTAGGAAGCTTTATAGACTAGCAGCCAAAACAATCACAATTAGCACAACTGAAGTCCCATCAAATTCAGCAGGAGGGCTTTAAGCAGGTGCTTGATCCCCTGACTGAAATTAATGGGACTCAAGTGCTGTTGCTGTTTCCCCACTTCTGGACATAAGTGCATTCATGTTGTGACTTCAAGGGCACATGCACACAGCACGCAAACCGGCCTTGCTAGTGGACAGCTGTTGCACGGCAGGGAGAGTACAGCCAACTGCTTGATCTTAAAAATGCCCATGCCGGCACAAACTGTGAGCCCCCCGTGCCCTTACGCCAGCACCACGATGCTCTTGCAGTGTAGACCCTTCGGATTTTAAGAGTACAGAGCCTTTGCACTGGGAGGCGCAGAACAGATGCGACTGTACAGCAGCATCCGGATCATGATACGTGCTCAGATAAGCCGTCATGCTGGGCACCCAGTCCACAACTCAACTCCCACTTTAGATCTGTGTGTGGCCCAAATCTGGGGGTTGTTGAGCAGAGTTAACAAAGGACTCAGAACTCAGGGGCTGTGAGTGGGCTTGGGCCACATGGAAACCGACAGGCAGAGCCCGAGTTATAGGACATGTTCTCAGCTCAGGCCAGTCTAGCCGGTCATGGGACCAGAGAGGAACCACGGCCTGAGGAAGGGGTTGCTGAAATGTGAAGCCTCTGATGGAGATACGGTGCCCCCCGAAGTGGCAGATGCGGCCGCCTGTCATCATGACGGGAAGGCAGCCCAATTAGGTGCGTGGAGAAAGGGTGGAGGTGTGCCTGCTTTTGCAGTGCCCCACCAGCTGGGGCGAGACACTGATGGGTTCCTAAAAAGAGCTTTGGGAAATGAATGGTAGAAAGGGTTCAGCACTTCACTAGAGGCTCAAAAGTAACAATAAAATCATTGGCAAAGAAACACCAGTGAGACTGCTATCGCTTGGAGGCAGACGCTTGGCCATGGCACCAGGTTACTGTGACAAAGGCCCAGTTTGCTTGCTGTGAGGTTTCTTAATAAGCCACAATGGTGTCATTTCGGGGTGGCTGTTAACCACCCAGTCACTTACCCTTCAGTGATTCAGGGGTCACAGAGGGAATTGCACTGGCATGCAGAAAAGTACTTAACAAGCCACTGTGGGTTATGGACTGCATTGTACTGTGTAAAGCTGCTAACTAGAGTAGTTTCCAAGCAGCCACTTCCAAATTCTGTTATTGCCATGACAAACAGTTTTCATTCCGTTGAAAGCAAAGTCTCATTTAGTTCCTAACATCTTAAAAGGGGTGCTCGGCCAACTGTCATTAATAACTTAAAGGCATACAAATTAGCATCTTTAACCAAGCATGTAGCTAGGCCCACACAAGGTTAAGGTTACTCCACCTGTAAAAATGGTTGGATGAACTACAGGGCATCCCATGCGACAGCAAGCAAGAGGCTGCAGGTCAGCCAAGCAGAGGCAATGATATCAAGGCTGACAACAACTAGAAGAACAGTAGTTGCGGGACACAACTTGCTTGTGAGACTGAAGCCTATGGATGTCACAAAGATCCACCCCCCCCCCCCCCCGAGATGCTGTCTCCCTGGACCTGAGATGTGACATGGTCTTCAGTGTCTATATACTGATTCCTGGAACCTGGGAAACAAACAGAATCTAATCAAACTCTTAATATGGGAGGGTAACTACTGCCATTTGACCGAAGCTTGGTGGGATGACTCCTGTGACTGGGATTCAAGCAGTTGAAGAATGGAAGGAACAGAAAGGAATTGTGCTATGTGTTAAAGATAAGTAGCTCTGCACAGAAATAAAGGAGAGGAGGGCAGGACGCGCTCCAACAGAGCGAAGCTTGTTCAAGGTTCAATTTAGAAGCCAGGAAGCACTTCCTGACAGTCAGGACCCCCAGGGTGTGGAATGGGCTTCCACGGGAGGTGGTTGAGGCCCCATCGGTGAGGGTGTTCAAGGACAGGCTGGACATGCACATGGTGGGTATGTCGTGAGCGGAGCTGGCTGGAACCGGGGGTCAGACTAGATGGCCTGGGAGACTCCTTCTGACTCACTCTGTTTCTATGTTTCTAAAGGGAGACGAGCATCTGGATTAAAATAAATACAACAAAGAATTAAAAAGAACATGGTGATTGGAGTCTAATACCAATCACCCAATCAAGGAAAAAACATGGAGGAAACTTCTGAAAGGCAAATGGACACTGTCTCAAGGAGTCATGATTTAGTAGTAATGGGGGCTTTAGCTTCCATGGTAATTGGAAAACAAATTCTGCCAAACAGGCCCCCTCCAAGAAATTCTTGACTTGTGATAACTTCTCCCTGCAGAAAGTGGAGGGAGGGACTGGATGATTGACTCTAACTGATAGTGGCCCAGTGGGGGAAAGTGGCAGTCATGGGAACTCTGTGGGGAAATGACCATGTCAGGCTCAAATTCTTGATTCTAAAGGAAGCAAAAGCCAAGTGTAGCCAAATGCATGCCCCAGATTTTAGGAAAGGCAATTTTAATAAACTTGTAAGAAAGACAAGGTTCCACGGCAAGCAACTCTAATAAGACAAGGAG